TTCACTCCTCCTCCCAGCCTTGTATTGTAGAAATGGTCCAAAGTGGAACCCTTGTCCGTTATTCCAGATAGGAAAATAACGGAAATTGAAACCCATCAAAACCTCCATATGCAGAACTGCTGCAAGGCTCCTACCTCGGGATAGAGCTCTTCATCTCTTTCATCTCCGTGGACGGTGATTGGCCCATCAAAACGGCCTGGATATCACCCCCGCGCAGGCGGAACATGTTCATCCACTGCCGGTGAAGGGAAAAAAAACTCTCTCTTCCAGCCAAAAGTAAATAATAGGGGGACCCGGTTTGACACGGAGGGCGCTTACCGATGTTTCTCCACATGCCCGATTCAAACTTTTGCTTTTTATTTCACCACTTTTTCGTGGGGAATTTATATACAATTGAGAGTGTTTGGGGGGAGATCATATCGAGCTTCAATTTGTCCCAAGAAAACACCGCAGGTCTAGATAGACAGAGAGACAAGCTACGGCCGACCTAGCGGGAGCGCTGCTCGGTCGGCAATCTAGACAGGCTCCGCTATCGCGTCCGCGCTGGGTGGGACCTCCGCGGAGAGCTCCGTTGGCCACTGGCTAAGCACGCAAGAACGAGACAAGAGACGGAGATCCAGACTGGGCCAGAGAGAAACCGGAGAGGACGCGCCCGTTTTCTCGTACAATCCATACTGCAATGCGACTGGACTACGGGATATCCGGACTCCTAAGACCCGGGATGATCGATATCAAATTCATATAACACGTCCGCCATTGGACGCCGCAGCCGCAGGTCTCCAGTACGCGGGATACGGAGGTTATGCTAGGCTCTCTCTCACAACTTGGTTCAACTGGGCCTCCCTCAGTCCTGTAACCTCGGACGATCCCTCCGAAGTGGGCTTCCAGCTTGGTCCCCAGTTTTCCATGTCCACGCCATGTCCACCGGCTTACACGCTGGTTGTCGATCGAATCAGCGCAGTGGCGGCGTTGGAAGGGCGATGCTTGGCATGGACGGAATCCATAACTAACTTGTCACTGTAATATCGAAGTCAAATCGGAGGGAGGGCCAAGAACAGGTTGTTTTGGCCGTAATCGCGTTCGCTCAGGCACCTTCCCTGTACTTAGAGATGGTCGTTGTGAGGCGCTTTCCGCGGCTGTGGCTTATTAGTAGAGATGCATACATAAGGGGGAGAGGCAAATTCACAAGGAATTGCTGTTACATTTACGAGGGAAAAAAACACACCACTTTCCAATTATTGATTACAGTGTACATACAGTGTGCCCGGCGAGCACGTGTCAAGGTCATGATATGGACTGGTCGAGGCACGGATATACTCCGGAGAAAGCTTGGATGGAGACGATCACGGTGTTCTCGTTATAGTGGAACGGCCGAGTGGGCACATAAACGAGGTTCTGATTACTACAGTTTGTTATTTGTTATTATCTAGACTGCACGATGCACGTAGATATCGGTACTTCGAACAATTACTTAACGATGGAGTATATACTTAATACAAAGAACATAAGTACCAACTAACCCGTTGGTAGGGTACAAGTCCTAGTTAGTTATTTGATACCCTCTGGACCTTCCTTGCGATGATCCCCCAGGGAAAGAGGAAAAAACAACCGCCTAAGCTGTCAGTACTTTTTTAGTGGGAACTGGGGTTGATCCCTCGGGTACAACAAGACCTGAGCCTCTTGCCGAAGTGTCGTACTCGACGACTACACCCAAGACAGTTAGTAATCTAACTAAGTAATTAACCCATCAGGCCAAATCGGACAGAGACATGCCCCGTGCTCCCAGGGTAAGTCCACTAAACTGACCTCTTTCTCCGTGATCCACTTTATCCAATCTCCGTCCCCACTTTCGGCCTGTCCACATTCACACTGGAACTTTTGAGCTTGAGAAAAAAACTTTGGGGGCCATGGCCAGTGCGGACCCGAAAGTTATTGATGGGAATGCTACGCCAGACACGGTAAGTCTTACCCGCCTAATCCTTCGGCAGATCGTGTTAGGCCGCCTCGGAGCAATCGTGACGACTCATGCGCGACTATCCCAGTTGATGATCACGGAGCTCGTCGTTTCCCCCGGAGCCTCGATTCCCTTCCGGGTTTATTTTCCACATACACTGTACGGTACATGCGACATAAAAATTGCGCGGATGCGGAGAGTGGCCCCCCTTTCCCCTCGGTTAGAGGATGGGCAGGAAATGGGCAAGTGACTCCCAGAGTGGAGGCGGGTTAGGTTAGGTTTTGGGGATTTGCATTGGAATACTACTGTATGCAGATGGAAGGGTAAAAAGTATGGAGGAAAGTACCGCGTACTCCGTCATCAATATTGAAGTATATCCAATTAGCGACGTCCAGCAAGAAACAAAACAGGGAAAGAGGGACAAGGGACAAAAAGAAAAGCAAAACGTGCAATAATTGCAGCCACTGGGCTAAGTCCTTTCAGTCAAGGATCCGAATCCCGAGAGACAGGGGGTCACATAAGTCCGGCAAAATTGAATCCTACAGTAGAGAAAGGAGTGCTATGTCGATGATGAAGATGATCTAATAATAATGGATGAATCAAAATATACGGAGTACAAAAGTCCAAGAAACCAGTGGATGATCACCAACTAATTGGTAATCTCCAACTGCTGCCAAGCCCCCCAAATTGTTGGTCTTATCCAATATCAGCCTTGCCAGGTCCAAATCTCCTCTTCCCTTCAGAGCACGCCGTTGGTGGAGTTCCGTCGCGACCATGTGAGATCCCAGCTCGCCATGTCCAGTGTCCACCCGTGCACGGCTGGACCATTGTAGACGCAATTGGATTGAAGGCGAGTTCCAAATAACTTAGCCGATCCAGTACTCGGTACGGTGTCGGCCAGCCCGATCATAATAATAATGCAATGTACAGGATACCATACCTTTCTCGCGATAAGCACAAGCCTGAATGATATTACCCGAACTAGCCTAGCAGGAAGTTATTTTTTCCATGCATATTCTACGGCTGCTCTGTACAGCTAGATAGCGCATCTCGTGCAGTACTCGGCTGTTAGTTAGGAAGGAGTTTAAATGACAACACTTCCAAAGTCAAAAAAGTAAATCTCAGTAGAAGATACGCCGTCACAAAGTCTACTACTACGGTATTGTACATGACAGGGGGAATCTCGTTACGCTACTAGCGCTACCACTAGTGGCAATCCTGGCGCGGGGTCCGCCGGCCATCCTGACGGACTGGCCGTTTGATTCATGCAGGCCTTCACCCTAATGTGCACGCTGACTTTCCGAAAAGCCGGGTGACAAGGATCTGAAAACTGGGAGGGGGAAATTGGGAGAGGCTTAGAGCATGGTGGCCAAATTGCAGTTCTGTTTGGTTGTATTTTGGATCATCTTATATCCGCCCCCTGCCCTTCGGTTCGATGCGTGGCGCGTCGAGAACGAGATCCTATTTATACAGTGTAATACGAATACATCAACGGCGCGTCCTGTATGCAGATGTGCGGACTGGATGTCTTAGCTTGTGGCGGACATGCTGCACGTTGCTGAGTCGGGAACTTTTGGGGCGGAGTGGTTGCAGGAGAAAGAAAAAGCTTTGGAGCCAATGCATACGGGGGTGCCATCCGCTCGGCAGTAGGCACAGATATTTGTTTTCTCCCCTGCTGCTGGACCAAGTACTCTGCATATTCTGTGCGTTGGCGCGTGGACACTCGGCACAATCTTTGGGGAGATCGCCGTTGGAATGCAGAAGGCTCGGTTCGACTCATCTAGTCTCGATGCTGTCAAGTCGTCGACTTGTTTGTGGTCGGTAGTTTTACCTACCTTTATTGGATCCCCTTACGGATGTGACCTGGTTCTTGAGAAATGATGGATGAGTTGTCAATGACATGAACGTACTGATTTATGATCTCAATAGATTGTTAGGCGTCAAGTCATCTTCCATGTAAACCCCATATGTTCATGACTCGTGACGCTAGCAAAAAAGCGAACCCATGTCAGCAACGAGGATCTTCCTCAGAAAAAGCAATAGCCATGTCCCCCACAGTATCCCTCTTGGCGTGCTCTCGTTTTTTGCATAGGGCACGATGCTGTGAAACCTACTAAGAAGTTCGAATCCACCCCTAGCAAGCTCAGCCTCACAGTGGGCCGATTAAGCATAAACGTCGACGGATAGGTAGCCCACGAACTAAGATCTTGATGATCTCATATGAAGTACTAGACTATTTTACGGGCCACCTGAAACCCTAGTACGGAATAATGTTGACAGATCGAGCGATCTTGACGCTTAAGCCAAGTGAGGTTAGAAAATTACCATCGGAGCTGATACCCAGGAGAAATATATATCGTGACATCCAATGAAGTAAGGTAGTGCCGAAATATGAGTGATCAGATTACCTGACTATTCTACCCAATAAGCCAAGTGAGGTTAGAAAACCATTGGAGCTAGCCGTGGTGATACCCCGGGAAAAAAATATATCGTGACGTCCAATGAATGAAGGTAAGGCCGAAAAATGAGTGATCAGATTATCTGACTGCTCTACCTCATAAGCCAAGACATTTTCTTTCTCCAAAAAATAAGACTTACTGCTTGCATTGCAAAAGCAAGCGTATTAGGCTAAATTTCTATTCTAATACGCTCACACGTCATTCTTCAAGCCGTTTCCACTACAACGTCTGCCGGACTATCATCACCCGATGGATGAGAACGACCTACACTACATTACTAGGCATTCCTCCACCGCCTCTTCAAGACTCTCAAATGGACATTTATCCTTAAGCTTTGATGTACTATGGGCCACGGAAAAAATTCTTCCGTCTTCGTATACAATTACCCCGGACTTGCAAACAATTGCGGGGTTAGAACATCGAAGATCCATTCATCCGGAGATGGATGCACAAGTATGCATTGAAGCATCGAAGCAAGGGCAGGTGAAGCTGTGTGTATAAAAGCGAACGATTGAGAATATCCCTTGGCGTTCGCAATCAGAAAATATCTTCTCAAATTCAATATTGGCTCTTATTCAATTGGCAACATGCTTTGGTCTTCAGAACTTATCTTAACCCTCCTCCCTTTCGCTGCGTTCAATGTGGCATCTCCAACACCGAGATCAAGGGATAAATTTGACTGGTCGTCAAAAAAGGCACTGTGAGTAGCTACCTGTCCTTGATCACTACCTTGTATCCAGCGCCCAAGAGTATGCCCATAACATCCATTACAGAATTGCGTTCGGAGACTCTTATACCTACGTCCAAGGGACCCATGGACACCAGAACTACAGTTTCATCGCCGATCAACTTAACTTTTCATACGATGCAGAAACCCTACTGTCAAACAAGATCGTGCAAAACCAAGTCAGTACCTACCATCTATACCGATTACCGTATATCATCCTCAAAGCATGTCAATATCTGACCAAGTATCCAGACTGCAACGGCAGAGGGAGGCCCCAACTGGGTTGAATACCTCACAAAGTGCGGTCTCAAGCCAGGCCTGACATCGCCAAAGACTTGCTCAAAGCAGCTCTGGGACTTTGCGTTTGCAGGAGCAGACATTTCGACAGAATAGTACGCATACCACCCAGATCCTACCAGATCCTACCATACCCTACCACGTCTTCAAAACATTGAACTTATTGAAAGACATACTAACACTTCTCCTCTAGCACCCCTCTGCACCACAACTACACAGTCTCCCTGGTCAACCAAATCAGCCAGTTCAAATCCTACGGCGCCCCAGTCCTCCAAACCTTCCTAAAACCCTCCAAATCCCTAATCGCAGTCTGGATCGGCATCAACGACGTCGGCGATAGCTCCAAATACGCCGTAAACTTCCCAACCTTCTACAACAACCTTACCAGCACACTATTCTCCTCCGTAGACAAACTCTACGATCTAGGCTACAGATCCTACCTATTCATGAACCTGCCACCACTAGACCGCACGCCCGGAAATCAGGCGACGACCACGCCACATCCCAATGCGACGCAGGTGGCCTGGTACAACGATGCACTTGCGTCCAAGGCAGAGCAGTTTGGGAAGGAGAAGGGGGATGTTGAGGTGCGAGTGTTCGATGCGCATTCGCGGTTGAGTGCGATGTTGGATGACCCGGCCAAGTATGGGATCGTGAATACGACCAACTTCTGCGCTGGATATGACCAGCCGGATATTGATACTAATTACAAGGCTTATGGATGCCCTACGCCGCTGGACACGTACTTCTGGTTTAACTCGGGCCATATGACGAGCCATGTACATAGCATCTTGGCCGCGGAGCTGGAGGACTGGTTGAAGGAGTAGGGAGATAGAGTGAAGGCCAGGCAATGACTACAGGTCTACAAGGACAATACAGGCTCCTTTCTACAGAGCCAATGTTGGGGTATTGGGAGGCAAAGTAACAATGACGAAATATTCCATTATGCTCATACAATCTGCACTAACACATCGGCGAACTCGCCAATAGAATAATCGGGAGACAAGAAAAGAGAAGAAGACACTTTTGTAATCAAGATGTATGAATTGGGCTTGGAAGATCCAAGCTGTAGAACTCTGCTGAGAACTGTAAACGAAGATCCAGGAGGAGCTCGTCGGCAGAGCAGAAAATCGAGACTGATAGGAATCATGTAAAGCTGTCTATGACATAAAAGAGTAACGCCGTCCGGTCCGAATTACGCAGGGAAAACGAGGTGAAGCAAGAACATAAAGGAAGTCTACCAGGGACGCAGGAGAGCGCCAGTTCCGATGGACCGCACGGGAGTGGCACGGGAATCGAGGGGGCATCTCTTTTTTTTTTGTTTACCAACGACGGGCACCACCGAGGGGAGCAGCGTTGGAGGCAGTGAAGCCGCCGCCACCACGGCCACGGCCACCCCAACCACCACGGCCACGACCACCCCAGCGGCCGCCACCGCCGCCACCACCGCTGTAGCGGACCATCTCGGCGAGACGGGGGTCAATCTGTTGCTTGGCCTCGGTGAGAATGGTGACCAAGTCACGAGCCTGCTTAGAGTCTGTAGTAGAGAGGAAACGGTTAGATATCTTGGAAAGTAACGGGGTTCGATACAAGAAACTCACTTTCAGTGGTGAAGAAGGTAATGGCGGTACCCTTGGCACCAGCACGGCCAGTACGACCAATACGGTGGACATAGTCCTCAGAGTTGTTGGGGTAGTCATAGTTCAGGACATGGGTAATGTCGCGCACATCTTTTCAAATACAGTTGGGTTAGCAAAACGAGCCATTAGTTGGGGTAAAGCAATTGTGGCCAGAGGAAGGCCCCTTTTTTTCACAGTCGTGCAGGACGTGGATGCATCATCACTGCTCTCTGATCGGAGCTTTTTTGGAAGAAAGTCACCGGGGAAGCAAGTCCATGAGGTGGCGGTAAAATCGTGGTCCTAAGAGAAACCTTGGAAATGCAGCTTTTTTTTTGAAACAGATCAAGAACAACGCTGAGAGAAATGGACTCCAACTCGCTTACGAGTTTCAACAACAAAGGAGTCGGAGAGATCCTGTCAGACCTGCTTTCTGAGACACTGCACTGTGAGTCCAAGGTCCTCTCTGGTCAAGAGAAACCATTTGAGATGACCCGACGTTCCGCCTGGACGAAGTCGTGTTTATACCAACATGCTTCGGGAGAGAGTTGAGCACCGTGCCATTGTGTTCTTCAACATCAACACGGGTAAGTGGTTTCAAGGGCCCCATCAGGGGGGATCACAATAGGGGAGGGAGGGGAGGGGGAAGGGGGTTGCAATTTGTTCATACCGATACCACGGGAAGCCACATCGGTGGCCACCATGATGGGGCTCTTGCCCTGCTTGAATTCGTTCAGGACCCAGTCACGCTCTTGCTGCTGCTTGTCACCGTGAATGGCTGTAATAGAGTATGTTAGTACAAATCAAATAGTCTTGAAGATCGAAAAAAAAGAGAAGACATACAGAGCGCGGGCCATCCGTCCTGGCGGAGGAAGCGAGTAATCTCGTCAGCGATACGCTTGGTACCAGTGAAGATGATAATCTTGTTGGAGCGGTCCTCCATGATCTTCTCCATGTGCTTGATCATGCGGTCACGCTTCTCGAAGTCCGAGACAACCTCGACGATTTGAGTAATGCGGTGGTTAGCGGAAAGGTCCATGGAGCCAACGTTGACCTGGATGTAGTCGTTCAAGAAGTCCTTAGCCAACTGACGGACCTCCTTGGGCCAAGTGGCAGACCACATGCAGGTCTGACGGTCAGGACGAATCTGGCCAATGATCTTGCGGATTTGGGGCTCGAAACCCATGTCGAGCATACGGTCAGCCTCGTCGAGAACCAGGTAGGTAACACGACGGAGGTTGGTGCGGCCAGCCTCCAGCATGTCGATCAGACGACCGGGGGTGGCAATGCAGACCTCAACACCGCGGGACAGGTCACGAATTTGGGGACCCTTGGGGACACCACCGTAGACACAGGTGTTGCGAATACGGGAGGACTTGCCGAACTTGCTGATCTCAGCCTGAATCTGGACAGCCAGCTCACGAGTAGGAGCCAGAATGAGGACGATGGGACCGTCACCGGGGGCCAAGAGAGGCTGGGCGTTGATGTGAACAATAGCGGGGAGACAGTAAGACAGAGTCTTTCCGGAACCGGTCTCAGCAATACCGACGACATCACGACCGGAGAGAGCCATAGGCCAACCCTGAGACTGAATAGCAGTGGGGCGCTCGAAGCCCTGGGCCTTGACCTCGGAGAGAACGTAGGCAGGGAAGCCAGCCTCATCGAAGGTCTCGACGGGGCGAGGAATGCCACGGCCCTGGACGGTCATCTCGTGCTTCTTACGGAAAGCCTCAACATCGGCATCGGAGCGGGCAGAGACATCGGCGTGCTCCTTGTAGAAGGACTTCTCGAACTTGGGCAGAGTGTTCAGGTCTAGAAAATCATTGTTAGTATTGGACACCAATCTCGGTTCAACGCGGAAAAACTCACCCCAGTCCTGAGTCTTGAGACCAGCGCCCAAGTTGGACATGCGGTCACCGCCACCACCGCCGCCGCCATAACCACCACCTCCGTAACCACCGCCGCGGCCACCACCGTAACCACCGCCGCCGCCGTAACCGCCACCGTTGGAGTAGCCACCGCCGTTAGAGTAGCCGTTGTCACCACCGCGGGAGCTGTATAGGCAGAAGATGTTAGTATGGGACTCAGATTGATGGTAAGTGATGAAAAAAAATCTGCATAGACAAGGGGACGTGGATGTGGGCGTGGCAAGGCTGAGACTCGTGAATTCTGAGCCCAACAGCGACTGAAAAAGATCGCAGAGGTCTCGAGAATAGATGAGGCTTATCCTACGAGTCCCCATCTCACAGGGATACACGAAAGCAAGGCACAAAGGGCTGTGAATGCGATTTTTGCAGAGTCCGCTAAAAGCAAAACAACTTACCGATAGGAGTCGCCTCCGCGGGAGTTTCCACCACCGTAAGACATGATGGAGATGTGTGTTTTGGTGTGTTTTTTGAGGGGGTGAGAGGGTATCAAGAGGAGGGATGTCGAAGGAAAAGAAGAGGGAAGAGAGAGGAGGATGGGTTGATGATAACGGTGAGTTCTCGGAGAACTTAAGGATCAAAAAAAAGTAGTCGCCAGGGGAGCGGCAAAAAAAAGCAGGAGGCGAAAAAAAAAACGTTACCACTTTCGGTTTAGCGTACATATGAGGCACGTGACTTACCATGTATTTGTATGAAATAATACACGTGACTGTGACTGTAATTTACACGTGACTTTGTATCTAGCCATGCACGTGACATAGCCAATCATCAAGTATGTGTTTGGAGGTACCATAATACTGGTGGCTCTGCACGTGATTTGGGACGCCTTTCTATATCACATGACTACAGACACTGTTTTAGAGGTGACAATACGGAGTACACATGATGGATCTAGCCGGTTTTTTGCGGGTCGTAACAAAGTTTTCTTTGTTAGACTTTTCAAGATCGGGCGGATGCCGGATACCCCGATGGAAGGAATGTGGAAAAGCAAAATTGGAAAAAAAAAATTCTCTGCGCTAAATCTGATTCGATGGTTTCCAAGGGTTTCAACGGCTATTTGATCCTTTCACATCTTCTGGTCGCTAAGCCCCATGTCCCAGAACCTGATTTCCAGTTCCGTAGCCCGGATGAAGATCCGGATTAACTCCTCCAGTCGACTGGGCGATACCATTTGTACATGGTCCTCCAACAAAGCTATTGCAAAAAATATTGTTAGTCAGATAAGTTTAGTAGATCGAACGTGAATCTTCTTACCTGATCCGAGGCGAACAGCTTCTGTGTAGTCGTCTGCGACATAGTTCTCAATCCACTTCCAATACTGGTTGCCATCCCGAAGAGTATTTTTGTCAGAGTGCAAACGCCTAGCGATAGCACCGTAACCGATCAAACAGGGAGCTAGAGCCATCTGGAGGGCAAGCCAGTCCTCCGATTGGCCAATATCGAGAATGTATCGGCTGTATGCAGTGCAAGCTATTCACGAAATAAGCATGGTCAGAAAAGCTATGCAAATAACCGCCGGGAGAAACACAGAGTCCTTACCAATCGTCTCTGGAGAAGCTTCCATCTCCTGCTTTGAAAGACCAAACGAAGAGCAGTAATCCAGGTGGAGGGACATCTCTCGCTTGATGTGCAAGACAATTTGGGCAGACTGGAACAAGTTAGTTGGATGGATACGTGATGCTTAAATAGTATACGAACTGCTGCTATTGAGTCGATTTCTGAGGACTTGTACGCGGCCAGAGCATTGCTGCGGGCAAATTGAACCTGTGTAGTTTTATTCGTCAATGTTGTGAATTGATTCGCATAGCTCGGATAGGAAGTCTCACCAGGTAGAGATAATCTTGTACAAGATATTCCTTGAATCGCTCCAAAGGGAGTGTACCTTGCCCCATACCTTCAACAAAGTCATGTTTGGTAAACTTTTCCCAGGCGCATTGAACGTCTGGACGATCCATGATGTACTCGAGGAAGCGACCACTGCAAAGGCAATCAGTTAATCTTTTTCGACATCGGGCAAGGAATGGGAAGTCTTGTCTTACGGTGCAAAAGGCATAGTATAGATCGAGTGGAAGTGGTTAATGGGGCCACTTCCCTTGCCCAAGTCCACGCTGGTCTTGATACCCACCTCAACGTACCGCACAGCACTGCGAACGGCTCGCACCATGTTCTTACCCATGGCTAGGTTGGCAGAGATTGCCGAAGCAAGTGAGCAGCCGGTTCCATGTGTGTTTTTGGATACCAGATAGTCTGTCTCAAACAACGTCGTTGTCGATGTCTCGCTGTCGTATAGGACATCGATCACAGTAGTCGACTCTTCTGGGGTTTGTGCGACCTTGTGGTCCTTTGTAAGAGGAAGATGCCCTCCTTTCAGAAGGACTGCCCTCGGGCCTAGGGAGCAGATTCGCTTGGCCAAGTCAATCAATTCACTAATGTCTGCAGGCTCAGGAGCCTCGGACCCAGAGTCTTTGATGAGAAGCTGAGCTTCGGGAATATTGGGAGTCAGAACGGTAGTCATAGGGAGCAATTTCAGTCGGAGTCGCTCAATAGCTTTCTCCGGAAGCAGTTGCGATCCGCTGGTTGAAACCATCACCTATAATCATATGAGTATGGTTGAAATTGAATAACTCGGGTTTATTTGTTACTCACCGGGTCAAGCACAATGGCGGGAACTTTGTGGGCTTGCAATGTCTCGGCGATGACATCAATTGTCTCCGCAGACGAGAGCATTCCTTAGAAAAAGTTAGCAAAGAGCCGGGAATATCAAAAGAAGCTTGATCTGACTGACCCAATTTCACTACGTCCGCGCCAACATCTTCCAGTCCCGCATTGATCTGCTTTCTTACGAATTCCGATGGGACGACAAAAATGTCCTGTACGCCCAACGTGTTCTGCGCAGTCAACCCCGTAGTAGCTGTCAGAGCATAGCAGCCATGTGCAGCCAAGACCCTTTGGTCTGCCTCCAGTCCACTATATCCGAAATTAGCATCTCTCAGGTGACCTTTCGAGGAGTGTATAAGTTTGAACAGGTAGGGAAGGTCTTGCGGTGATGTGTCCAGTGTATACTGGAGAGCAATGACTGCTAGGAAGGCGAACTTACGCGCCACCAGAGCTGTCGGAGCCTGCGATGACTAGGACCCGCTTGACAGACATGATTGAAAGAGCCAATCGGGCAAGAAGCTGGATTGGTTGAAGGGTGAAGGTCAAGAGGGTGGTGGGGGATTGGCGGGCAAAAATGCGATAAGACCGATAAGCCGAGATCGGTCGACTGCACGTTGTGCTTCTTGGTTTTTTTTTTCCTGCGGTCGGATCCTCGCGCTTAGAGGTGGAAACCTTAGCAATAACGCTCGCCATAAGTGCTCTTCTTGCATTCATGTTATATGTACGGAATAGATACTGTATAATAATTCTAATTCAGGCGGCCAATTATTGTTGGAGGCGTACATGTGTCCAATTAGCTCAGGTATTTCCATGATGGTTTCTTTACATCACGACGTCACCTTAACCCAGCCAACGTGGTGCTCTATTATTGACTTATAGGTGGTAACAGTTTAATATTAGTTGATTCAAAACCCCCTAGCTACTAATGGGCTTACTACCGTGATATGACGCTTTGAAGTCTGTCATGTACTAAGCCAATATGAAGTTCTTCATATGCTTACGGAGAAATTTTGGTTGCATTCGATTTCATCTGCGTAAATGATTCCCCAACTTACTATATCGCTCATGAGGGCCAGGCCTAGGTGTGATTGGAGGTATAGCTACCTTATGCACGAAGGCTTATGTCGGCTGTACTTCCGTTGATGAGCACGGTCTGTCATCCCCCCCAAGCCACGATCACTCTCCAAGACTGATCACATTGCATATCCGCCATCGCTACTCCTGTACCTTGATCCCAGCAACGTAGCGTCAGCAAATGATCACATGGATCTATAAATTACGCGTACCCGCATGTCCATCTAAGCTTCTCGTGAACCCTGACACGCTCTGCGATCGAGTGCGCCGCAGCCGGGAGGGAGGCCGATAAGGTTTACACCTAGACCAGATCTCAACTCTTGATGCCTTCGTTGAGGCCAGACCACAGAGATCTTGCTACGATAATAATCACTATTGTCAGTCCGTTTGAGAGTACACTCGGCAAAAGTTGCACATGAATTAGGTGGCAATCTCAGAAGACAAAAGAGCGAGATTCGGGCTAGACAGGGATCGAAAATTGACTGACAAGGTATGAAGCAATAAAAAGGCCTATCACAATATGGTTGGTGCGCGTGGACTGGAGTAATTGGCACGCCTGATCATAAAAACAATTTAGTATATGCAGCTAGGGCCCCAACTAGCACAAACTTATTTTCTTTGTTTGAGCGGGGTCTCGAGGCCTGTGCAACGGGTCAACAGGGGTTCGCATTCTGGTTCTCGAAAACCACAGAAGGTTTTTATTATAGACACGGATATTTAAGCACTAAAAGATAAAAGAACTATGGCATTTACTTGACCGGCGCTATCTGTGATCTTTAGCTTGAGATCTACGGTTTGTGCTACACAATATTTCCGAAAATGGAAATGAGCCGCCACGGCTAGACAAACGAGGTTAGCTAAATAGTATCTGTAACCATAGCGAGCGACTAGAGGCGATGATCCCGGTTGGGTTAATTGGGCCCAGAAGGATTTAGAGGCCCTCGCCAATGCGCTCCCTAAAAACCGGAAGCCGAATGATGATACTAGCGACATTATGGCTTGGATGATCGTTCATGCCCACCCACGAGGACGGCCCACAAACCAGATCTGGGCAAAGAAGCCTCCCATCTATGATTAGTGCTCGCATTGATACACCTTCTACTGGAAGCCCGTGCACGATAGAGACAGGGTATTTATGTAGCCCGAAGCCTATGAATTGTAACTTTTACTCAGAGTAGGTTGAATAGGTTTGCTATTAATTGGCTTGTCCTATTCCGGTAGTTTCTAACTAACTACTGCGGTTCCCCCAGCGTAGCCACCTATGAGCACCTTGCCTTCACACGCCTTCGCCCACGACCTATGGTCCATCTCAGAATGCCACTCCATAAGCTGCTACTGTTGTTACTCCTTCACATTGCTGTGATAGATGCAATTCACCTTTGCCCTCTCCAAGGACCTATTTGGCCTGCTCCCACGGGTCTCTCCAACGACGCCACAGTCCAATCAGCACTGAAGAACATCACCAAGACCATCCAGAATGCTAGTGATGCTGGAAATTTCTCTGGTGCTTCCTTGTCATTGGAGATCTTTGATACAAGTAGTTCAAATGCATTGCTCACATACGCTCACACGGCCAAGGAAATTAATACCACCCTCGGCGTGAGCAAGGTGGACGAGAACACCGTTTTCCGCATCGGAAGCACCTCCAAAATGTTTCCTATGCTTCTCCTCCTCATCCAGGGCGGCTTTAGTCCCCTGCAAGACCCAATCTCAAAGTATATCCCCGAGCTCAAAGCGGCTGCTGATGATCTTTTGGGGAATTCAACAAAGAGAAACAATGGGATTGACTATACCAGGTGGAATGAGATCACAGTTGGGGAACTAGCGAGTCATTTGGCTGGTATAGCTAGAGATTGTAAGTCATTCGTTATCCCTATGCCTACTATTCATTTTAACCCCTCTTAGATGGTGTTCTCGACCTCACTGAGCAGGCCTCGTTGCTTCAGTCATTGGGATTTCCTGCTCTTCCACCTGCACAGATTCCGCCCTGTGGTGTGCCAAATCCGTGTAGTAGAAAGCGTTAGTAGCTGACACTTCCTGAAATACGTACCGGCTACTAATCGATACTCCGCTAGAATTCTTTGATGGGATGCTACAATCTCATCCTATTGTTCCAACATCATCTACACCCATCTACTCCAATGCAGCTTTCCAGGTCCTTGGATACGTGGTGGAAGCCCTCGCGAACGGCAAAGACTTTGAAAAGGTCATGAAAGAGAAAATTACAAAGCCGCTGAACATGGCACACACTTTCTATACTACCCCGAATTCATCTCTTGGTGTGATTCCTAGCTACCAGGGTGAATACTGGTGGGACTTTGATATTGGCGAAGAGGCACCGTAAGTAACATCTACCACCTACTAATTCTATTCATCAAACTCACTTTTCGATAGTGCTGGCGGTATTTTCTCCTCTGCAAAGGATATGTCTACTTTTGGTCGGGCCATTCTCAACAGCACTCTTCTCCCTCAATCAACAACGAGACGGTGGTTGAAGCCTCTCGCCCACACTTCGTCCATTGACTACGCTGTCGGAGCGCCTTGGGAGATTCTTTCATTCGGCAATGAGCGCCCGATCGATCTATACACCAAGTCTGGAGATATTGGCACATATTCCTGTGTGCTGTCTCTAGACCCCGATCACAGCGCTGGCTTTGTGCTTCTTGGTGCTGGAAATAATACCCATGTATCTCTTGCTCTCGCATCCGATCTCGTCTCACAGAGCCTGCTACCTGCACTTGAACAAGCTGCCAAGAATCAGGCGCATGCCCGTTTCGCAGGAAAGTATGCCTTGGGTACCGGGAATTCCTCCATTACCATCACCACAGACGACGGACCCGCTCTAGTCGTTACGAGCTGGGTGAATAACGGCACAAACATGTTCCCGAGCTACATGGCTTTGAGTGGAATTACTGATCCCTCTATGCTTAGTATCCGGCTGTATCCCACGGGTCTTGAGAGCCCTGGACAGCTTTCTTTCCGAGCTGTGATCCCGCCCCCACTGCCATCTGGCATTGGACCATTCAGCTCTTCCTGCATTTCCTGGGTGACCGTGGACGGAAGTGTGTATGGTAATGTGGGGATCGATGAGTTTGTGTTCAACTTGGATGGGAAAGGCAATGCAGTTAGCGTCTCTCCGAGAGTGCTGCGAACCGTTCTGCCGAAGACCAAATAGTCCACCTAAAAATGTGCTTGCGATAAGCTACTTTTTTACTAGCGTTTTACCGCAGCTGCTGCAATTTGGTCTTCCTTTGGGAACGCTCTATTTCATGTCTATATGTTTATGATCACTTGTTCAATGAACTGTCTATATCATATCTAAATTTTTGACTCTCCTAATAGTGCCTCGGGAATCGAAAAACTCATGTCGAGCCCTTTCGCCAGATAGTAAATCGTTTCCAGTCTTGGCACATCCACACCATGCCTCTGCGCGATCCGCAATGCATTTCCAACAATGCATTCTACTTCCAAATGTTGACCGGAAAGAGCGTCGGCCATCATACTTGGCTCCACACCCGGAGGGGACCTCACAGTAGACAAACGTAGTTGACGATCAACAACACTATCATCGACCTCACTATACCCCTCTGCCCGAGCGATACTGGCAATTTCACTCATGACATTCCTGCAAAAAGACTCTGCACCGGGCGCAGCACCCAAGAACTGGACATCGCGCAGTCGGGAGAGTGCGCAGATGGGGTTTTGTGAGCCATTCACAATCAACTTTGTCCATCGAGCAAGCTGGATATCATCCTCGTGGATCGTGGTTGCACCGCCGTCGTTCAGAATTCCAACGAATTGTGCCGTGGAGCTCTTATGCTCCGATGTAGCATTGGCTGGGTATGTACCCAGAAGGAACTTTGAGTAAATGGTATGAGAGACCACGCCTGGAGCAGTCTGTGTACAAGGCATGTATATCACAACACTGGTAATGGCGTTATCCGGGAATAAGGCTCTATAAGGCTCCTCGATGCTGATACCGTTCTGCATGAGCACAATGTTCGTCTTGGCAGATACCGCAGGTTTGATCAATTCGGGCTGAGAAACGTTGCCTCTGACGATCACCTTGGTAGCCACGCAGATATAGTCGAAGCCGTCTGGGCACACCTGGATAGCCTCGGTTACCGATCGGACAGCGATGGGTCTGACATTTTCGTTCATTCCATACACCGTGGAATTAATTGTGAAGCCATGCTTCGCGACAACATCGTAATTAGACCGACACACAACAACAATATTTGATGCATCAATTGACTTGGAGAGTAGATAGGCGAGGACTGCTCCAATGCTCCCTCCTCCGAAAATGAGGACGCGTGGAGACATTATTGATAGCGCTTGGTACTTCCAGGGATTGTAGAAGGAATGGAAGCCGAGAGTCACGCTAGAATGCTAGAACAATTTATTTCTTCTTCCTCGGGTGTACCCCGCTCGTCGGCCTCGTAAATTAAAAATCAACACCCGCCATTGCGCCTTACACGTGATCTCTATACAAAGATATCACAGATTCGTGACATCTAGAACTAAAAGATAGAAGAAATGGCCGCATCTAACTTAATCTCGCTTCAATCCAATTCGTCCAGTCTTCCGAAGACCCAGTCCTGAAATCGCTGTGCAAAGGATCATGAAAGCGAACATGGTCCAAAAGCTTGCTCGGTACCCCGCCAGCAGTGCAGAGATCTCATTCTCGCTGACTTCTTTGTTCTCGGTAACAACTGAAGAAATGACTTGCAGAATTGCAAATCCAAGAGCAGTGCCGAACTGCGCAGCAGTGTTAAACACAGCACCTGCCAGTGCTTTCGTGTCCTCTGGGAAGATATCCGTAATAATGATAAGGCCGACGGTGAAGAGAGCATTGCAATTCACCGGTTGCAAGAGCTGAGCCACGAAGGTGTTTGTCCAATAAGGCCAAGATGGCTGAGCTGTAGCCATGAGCAGAGGGGAGAGCGAGCATAGAACGGCAGTGAGGACCACGATCCAGATTGCAGGTACTCTGTGGACGAAAAAGCCTGCAGTGACCTGAACGAGGACACCGACGACCAGACTTGGAAGGATGCGAATGGATGCTTGAAGGGCAGAAAGTTGCTGGACTTCTTGGAAACTGGGAGGAGATTAGCGGGGTCTTGCCATTGAAGTGACTGAAGGCTACTTACAATAGACTTGCGAAGAGCTCCATGGAGTTGATCACCGCAAAGGAAAGAGCGATTGTAGCACAGATACTCGAGAAAGTTGCATTTCTCCAGAAGGAATTGGGAATGAGTGCTGGCCTTCCACGGCGAACCTGATAATGGATCCATATAATGAACGAAGGCAGCGCAATTGCGGCCAGGCAAAGGATCACAATACTGGCAGTTTCCTTGATGCGATACACATTTGAACTGAGGATTCTATTCGAAGAGTTAGCAGATGGTTTTCTCACCAGAGCTCGGCGTCCAATTTACGCAAGCAAGTAGCAAAGCAGCGCCATGAACGCAGACGCAAGTAGCGCTCCAACCCAATCAATCTTGTATTTCAAATCATGCAGAATATTCTCCAATTTGCGAGGATGCTGACTCCCCGGAAGAGCCCACAGCCCAATGAACGAAAGGAATAAAGCCGCACTGCCAGCGATATACCAACCAACTCGCCAGCCAACAGTGTCCACGAAGACTCCGCCCAGAACGAGCCCAAGACAGAAGCCAACGGGCTGGGCCATACCAAGGCAAGCGAAAGCCATATTTCTGCTTTTACCTTGCGGGAAGACCTGAGTAGCAATGCCCACGGCAGATGCAAGATGAAGTGCAAGACCGACACCCTGGATGGCACGCATCGCAACCAGCTGAGTACCTTCCTTCGCAAAGCCCATTCCAAGCATCAACGCACCGCTCGCAAAAGTGCCGACTAGATCGACCCATCGCGGACCAACGACGTCGGCCAATGATCCCGCCAACAATAAAGTAGAAGCAGTTGCGAGTCCCGATACGGAAACTGGCCAGAAAGACAGCGAGGAAGGTAGGTTGAGGTCCTTTGTGATAGTAGGAAGTCCAACGGTGACAAGGCCGTTGATGATACTAGAGAGCATGGTATTGCCGCTCATTTGAAACACGATAATCGTGCTACGCAGCTTGGAAATTTGCGTGGCGTGTTGGTCATTTTCATGGCGTTCGCTTTCACGAGATTGAACACTGGTCGTCTCGAGGCGAATCATCGAGACACGGCGTTCGCCAACAGACTCGGAGCCTGTATGCTTGACCGTGACGGTCTGTGTTGTCGCCATTTTGAAAGACTATTGGGTCTCCCACGCTGTAAACGAGAACTTCAGGTAGGAAATGATCGAGTTGGAAGAGTCACCGGAAGTTATAGAGGCAGAGCGTTTGAACGCTCTTTACTCCTCGGGAAAATCTGGTAAATGGCATCTTGAGTGGAGTCGGCTGCCACAAATTTTCTGAAGAAAATACAAAACGGCGATATAATAGGCTGAAAAAGTTCCATCCCGCGCTGGTCGGACTGGAACCGATGGGTTCCCGAGTTGAGGCCCATTGTTGTGATTGGCCACACCCGGCAGTGGAACTAGGGCGTGGATGGAGTTAGCGGATAATATGTAGGGCGTGCTGCAGGCAGGCGAATCCGATCATGTAACCGTCACATAAGGGGGAAAAAAATAGATATACTGCCAGAAAACAATGCTATGGGAATGTGGTCGAAAGACACAAATGAGTCATTAATGCAAGAAACCCCGAACGTTGATGCAAAAACTCAACATTACGCAACTTGATTCCTCATAAAACCAGGCCCAGAAAAGAAATATCCTTATGTACAAATTCCCAAAAGAGTCATACGCCACTGGGGCTATTGTTGTATCATGAATCGGAAAAGCGTATCCATCTCAACCCACTGCCGACCACACTTCTTCAGGTAGCCATCCACCACGGTCTTGATCGTGCCAAAGCGGATCCGATTGAACTCCGCAAGAGCCGCCAAGCTATCCTTCTTCTCTCCAGATTCCTTAGCGGCGGTCGCCTTGGCCTTGTCCACATCCCAGAGACCGGCAAAGTATAGAAGCTGGTTGTACATTTGCTTCTCGCTATACTCGTAGGCCATCCGACCCAGACAACCCTCAGCGCGACCGCGGGGACCCAGGCACCGGTGGCCATACACGCTGATTTGTCGTGTTCGGTTGCCACATGCCGAATCATCGCAGACGAGCCAGCCCTCGTAGTATCGGGCGGTCTGCTCACGGATCTGGTTCTCCAGCTGTGCGATGATGGTCAGAACGGGAAATGGCTTTTGGCAGCTTTCATTAGAGCAAATGATGCCGTTTGCTGAGCACATCTGAGGGGAGTCGACCAGGCCTTCAAAGACTGACTGCTCCTTGCAGAAGCGACATTTCAATGTCAACCGCACGGAGTTGGCAAAGCGGACAGAGTCCGGAATCTGCGACTCCAGAGGGAAGATCTCGGTGTCCTGCTGCTTGCTCGAACTGGACGTGTTGATCTGATATTTGCGAGCATCGAGACCAAGGCACTCGGCAAGGCGGACTGCGTCGGTACCGGGGATGGGGGCACACAGACGTTCGATGGGAGGGAAGATCTGCTTGAGTAGGTAGAATTCGACATCAGGCTTGAGTCCGGAATTGGGCTTGAGAACGTCTTGTGGGCTGTATGATCGTTTGGCTGGCGGCAGGGAGGATGTCTCCGCATCTCCGCTCGTAACGATATATGAGATGACGTCGTTCGGTCGCACGTTCTTGCCTCGAGCAATGTCGCGAAGAGCGACCTGCGCCGGCGGCATAGTCTCTTTGTTGGGGTATTGGTCTGGGCTCTTGGACAGTTTCGTATAAATCACGTATTTCTGAACGGGAACCGCAAACTCTTTCATCTTCTCCGCAAGCTCACGCAGGTAGTCGTGAACTTTGTTGAGAACAACCTCCTGATCCTCGCCGGAGAGAATCTCGTTCAGGAGCCGTTGCGATACCTCCTTTGAAAGAGCACAGTATTCACGACGCTTCATGTCAAGACCCTTGACCTCTAGTTTCTCAATGTACTTACCGTCGACTTCTGTCAGGTTGACAGCAGCATACTTCTTCTTGGCATGCAGCAGAAGTCGGCGGAAGACATTATCGATGTCAATCTCAAGCAAACGGTATCGCTCGTTGACGGATTTCTTAAATTCCTCGCCAACCTTGAGGGCATCGCTGATGGTGTCCATGTTGGTGTTGATCATGACGGAGTCAGTGTCACCATAGATGACACGCAATTGCTTGCTCTCGGCGAGTTCCTTGGTGCTTCGCAGAATCTCACGTCCCTTAAAGGTGGTGAGCATGGCTAATGGACGAGCATAGAATCGACTCTGTGTGTAACCCAAACATCCGTACATGGAGTTGGCCGTAAGCTTGAACGCAAGTTGCTTCGTATCCCACAGAGCAAGCTGTTCAGGCGTAGCACGCTTGTCCTTCATAAGCTTTTTGACCTCACGACGACGGCCGACCAAGGTTGCAATGAGTCGAGGCAGAACTCCCTGCTCCTGGTCCGAAGAGGGGATCTCAGGAACTTTCTCCTCATTCTCATTTTCAGACTAAAACAGACTTTGTCAGCATGATGCGTTTCTAGGTAGGATTCCCGACATTTAACACTTACAGTTGCTTGTCGGTCGACGGTCGTGAAGCAAATGTTGTACTCCTGAATGATACTAGGATACAAACTGTTGAAGTCCATGACCAAGATGAATCTGTCATAGAGACCCTTCTCGGGCTCGAAGACGAGACCACCCTTGTACTTGTCCTTCTTTTTCTTGTCGGCCGCATCGTCGTCATCTCCATCCAGTAACTTCTCCTCGGCCTTTTGCAAGCGAGAGGAGTACTTATCGGGACAGATATACTTGTTTCGATGGAACTCGTGAAGCAAAATGTACTCGTTGCGCTCCGCGCGAGTACCACTGAGTGTTCGTGCCCACGAGTTACCGGCAATGTTCGTCAGCACCTTGGTAAGCGGGAGCATCTGTAGGCGCAATACCAGAGCGGCGATGAAGTAGGTGTCTGTATCACAGTGGTTGACAAGGTTCATGAGACCCTCCTTGCTTGACGCCCAGGTCTTCAAAGCTGCTTCAATATCCAGATCCTGACGATTGTTACCCTCGCCGAGATAGAGTTGACACATTTCTGACAGACTCCACGACTGACATTTCATCATGAGAGACTTGCCCATGTCATTGCCAACGTCACAGAGTAGTCGTCCGGCAATAAGCTGTCTTTCAATAAAGAAGCCGCCGCCGCCCCTGTTCAATTTGGGCCACTCGCCACGTCGAAGTCGACCGATACGGTGCCATCCAGGAGTTTTCTTCTCCCGCATGCGATTCAAAAGAATACCGAGGTCGACATCCTGCAGCTGGTGACCCATGATTACATCAGGATCCATCTTCTCAAAGAGAGCCAAGAACTTGCTTAGCAAGAACTGCTCGCTTTTCTCCAGCATAAAGGTGCCTCGCTGCTTCTTTGTTTCGGCATCGAAGTGGATAGGATAGGAGGATCCGGCAGGACGCATGACGGTGAATGTTTTGCAAGGAATCTTCTCTGGGGGAGTGGTGTCTGTGAGAGAGATGTTCTCGTAAACTCTAGCGCTCACCATGAGAATTTCCTGCTTGTTGTCCTTGACGTTGAGTTGATGACGGAAAGACAGACTCATAAGCGTCAATGGTGGAGTATCCAGATTCTCCGTTTCTGGAACGGGGGTGATCAGGGCTGGCTTGGAGGCCTGGCATTCGAACTTGCACCAGGATGCATTGTTGACGGCAGAGAAGTCGGCCTCGTCAATCCTGAGCCAGCAAGGACCCATGATGTTCTTCCACAGCACAAACTGTTCGAAAAGAGAGGTGTTTGTACCGAAGACATGCGAGTAGGTTTCACCCTTGGTCTCCATAGGCAAAGCTGGCTTATCATATGGGTAAAGCAACTTGAGGTAGTCGGCCTCCTTCGGAACACCAGGCAGCTCGAATGCGTACTTGCGACTGCAGGGTTTGATCTTGTGCATGCCAACTCGCATCCGCGACATGAGTCCATCAACCTCTCCGTAGACATCCTCCATGTCAACCTCCTCCTCGGTCTCTCTTCCTTGCTTGTGTCGGTATTCGCGAGGAAGGAAGTAGAGTTTGCGCAGAATGTTGTCGATCTTGACGAAGGCACTAGCATAGGAACCATTCTGCTTGTTCTTGACTTTTCCGAACAGACAGAGACTACCGTTGACCTCGGTGTAGTCCAGCCAAAACATGCGCAAGCTGCCATCTTCCTCGACAACATCTTGAGCACGTAATTTGCCGAATGATCGCATCTCGGGTGCTGGGCTGCTGAGGACGTTCAATTTGCTCTGGATGTCATTCCAAGAGGGGTCCATGACCTCCGGTGCAACTTTGGCGGGAGAAGAGCTGGCCGGCGTAGGAAGAATCTCCTTCTTGAGCTTTGGAGGTGGGCGGCTACCCGTCATGTTCACACTTGCAGCCTTGATATTCGAAGATACCGTAGCTTCCGCAACATCCATCATATCAATATCTTCGTCATCGGACTCTTCCTTTTTGACGGGGATCGCTGTCTTGCGCTCTACCGCCTTGCTGATGGGGGACGAGGGCATTGGGTCGCCCATATCGATATCATCGTCATCCATCTGAGGAAGTGGAGCGTCATCAAAGTCATCGGAGTGTAGTGAAGGTTGGTCCTTGACTGGCGAGCTGGGGACGTCGTTCTCGCTTTTGTTGTCGCCCAATTCTCGGCGTCGTCTTTCGGATATGGGTGGGGAGAGGACGCGCACTTTGCGTCGTGCTTCTGATTTGACCAGGTTTCTGGTAGGGATGTGATTGGAAACGAGGTTGGTGTCGACTTCACCAAGGAGATCTTTCATGAAGGCATCGTCCTCGGCAGTAGCAACCGGCTAAAACCTACTGTCAGCAACGGCTGCTAACCGTGTAAATTCCTTTCGACGGAACACTAACCTTGGGCTTAGGCGCTGATGCAGCAGCACTGCCGGTGTTGAAGTATTTGGAGATACCATTGTTGATTTTCTCCTTCCGCTGCTTCTCCTCCTCGCGCTTTCTCTTAGCAGCCTTGCCACGAGCAGGCAATTCGTCGCTCTCGTCGCTGTCGTATTCCCCGGTGCGCTCGTTCCAGACCTCTCGACCATCGTCGGCATATCCAGCTCCATTGTCATCAACAACAAAGTCATCTTGGTCGAGGCGGCTGCGAATAACTTTTTTGTAGCCGTCGTCGTCGACCTCGTCGTAGATATCGCCCTGGTCCTCGATTTCGTAGGTTGAGATACGCTTCTTGCCGGCGGCACGGAGAGCCCTCAGCTCCGCCAACTTGTCGCGAGCAGACGGCATCGTTGGGTATGATTATGGACGAAAGCCCATAAATGGCGTGGGACTCGAGACAACAATTGGTGGGGAAAGGGAGGACTGCAAAGGGAGATCGCGCCCGGGGGGACGCACGGCGCGACGGGACGCGATCGGGACGCGTTAAAGTGGTTTAGGTAAGAGTTGGTGCCTTGAGGCCTGAGGCAATAAGGCCATAAATGTCAGCCCTAATAAGTCTTTCCCAATTGGGCAATTCGTCCATCGACACATTCATTTGTCTTCAGCAAACACTTATATACTGGTGACGCGCGCTCCTCTCGCTGATGCCCTGAGACACCAAGTGAAAAGGAACGACGGCTGGTACCCGAAAAGTAAATATTAACGTACATAGAGGATTAATACACACTTCTACCGGGGCATGTATAACTAAATCTACATGGTCACTTCTGGGAATGGATCTCTGATAAAACTCAGCTAATTCCTCTTCCATCCTTCCCACCTTTCAAACGCAGCCGTGTCCAAATCAAACAAGTCCAAAATTCGCCCGACACTGTGATTAATCAAGTCTTCCACCGATGATGGCTTGATGTAGAATGCCGGCACTGGCGGAAAAATGATGGCACCAGCTTGTGTCACTGAAAGCATATTTTGCAAGTGGATTGTGCTAAGCGGTGTCTCTCTTACTGCCAGAACCAGTCTGCGCCTTTCTTTCAGTATCACATCTGCGGCACGAGAGATCAAATCATCGCAGATACCCGAGTTGATTGAAGCAAGTGTTTTCACACTACATGGAACGACGAGCATTCCCTCCGTGCGGAATGAGCCACTAGCGATTGGCGCCGACAAGTCGTTGATACTATAGACATGATCGGCCAGAGCGCGGACATTGGAAATTGTGTAGTCGGTCTCATACTTGATCGTAGCCTCAGCCCACTTAGAAATGATGAGATGGGTTTCCACGTTCAGGCTGCGCAGGGCAATAAGCGTTTGAATCCCCAGGATTGACCCTGTCGCTCCGGTAAAGGCGACAATAATCTTGCGCCGTTGTCGGGCAATTGGGGCGTGGTCATCCGATGAGGCATGATCAGCCCGAGATGTGAAAAAGTCCATGGTGTGAAGCGGACAACGTAAAGATTTCTGGGCTGAATTCCTGAAAGAGTTATGCTTTCCATGAATCACTTTGTACAAGGATTACAGAAGAGAGAACTTTATGAGAATTAGTTTCATTTCTCCGAATTGGGGAGTCCCGCTTTTTCGGAGCATACATAAACCGACCATCTAAAGAGGGTCTCCCAAAAGCCACCCCAGTGGAGTTCTGAATAGGTTACAATTGACTAGTCAAAAGGCATTTGCTCTCTATAGATCTGTATAGCAAGGCGATAAATTGTCTCCTCCAAATTGGGGAGATCCACTTTCCGCGAGGTTGCTGAACAGAACCCCCAAGTTGGGGTATACTTGCCTAACTCAAGTTCTTCGACGTCACAAATAAAAGCCTGAGCACAGCGCTTGATTTTTGTTTTAGTAGATTAAAAATACAGTTGGAGACATTTCTTATCCCATATCCCCTTTTGTTTTCCTTTCGATCATGGCTACCAGTGATTCAAACCCAACGGCGGCGGGTGATCTACGGAAGTTCCTTGAGGAGCTTCAAGATGAGAACGACCTACTTGTGATTAGTCAGGAGATTGATCCTGAGATGGAGCTGGCAGCAATCACACGGAGAGTCTACGAAACTGAAGAGAAAGCCGTTCTCTTTGAGAACATCACGGGTCGTCAAGGGAATGGTCTGTTCCGAGTGCTCGGAGCCCCGGTTGGACTTAGTCGCGTTCCTGGCCAAAGACTTGGCCGCGTTGCAAAATCTCTGGGTCTGCCATCCAATGCATCGGGAAAAGAAATCATTGATAAGATCAACTCAGCTAAGAGCCTGCAGCCCTTGGTGCCAAAGGAAGTGTCAACTGGGCCTGTGAAGGAGTGTAAGCTGTTCGGAGACGACATCGATTTGAAGTCGCTGCCAACTCCTCTCTTACATCAACATGACGGAGGAAAGTTTCTTGAAACCTTTGGTATGCATATTGTACAGACGCCCGATGGAAGTTGGACAAACTGGTCGATCACCCGAGGCATGGTTCACGATAAGCGCAGACTTGTCGGTCCCATTATCCCCAAGCAAGATATTGGGGTTATCTACCAGATGTGGAAAGACAAGGGCCAGGACATGCCCTGGGCATTGTGCTTCGGTGTGCCCCCAGCCGCAATTATGGTTGGCGGTATGCCAATCCCAAAATGGACCGACGAAGCCGGATTTATTGGTGCACTGGTCGGAAGCCCTCTCGAAGTAGTGAAGTGCGAAACCAACGATCTTCGAGTCCCGGCAAATGCCGAATTTGTGTTTGAGGGAACTGTTTCAATCACCGAGACTGCTCCTGAAGGCCCTATGATGGAGTACCATGGGCACGTATGGCCGAACCAGTCTAAACCATGCCCACTTTTCAAGGTTAATGCCATCACTTATCGGAAGGACCCTATTTTACCGATCTGCATTACCGGAAGGGCCACCGAAGAAAGCCACACCGTGTGGGCTCTGACAATTGCTGCTGAGGTCTTGAATATCTGCCAAAGCGCTGGCCTCCCTATCAAGAATGCCTGGTGTCCATTTGAGTCTCATGCTATCTGGTATGTGCTGCAAGTGGATCGAAAAAATCTCGTGGGCATGAAGACATCTATGCCTGAATTCTGCACTAAGCTAGGCCATGTCGTGTTCGGCTCAAAGCCAGGTTGGTACATGGGCAAAGTTTTCTTGGTTGGTGAAGATGTCGATCCCTCGGACCTTCGTGACGTTATCTGGGCCGAATCAACACGCTGCGAGCCTGGAACAAGCGAATTTCTGTTTGACGAATACGGAACTATTCCACTGATACCTTATGTGGGCCATGGCACTAAGCCAGTGGGGAACCACAAGAAGGTTGTCAAGTGCTGTATGCTGCCTTCTGAGTTCGAAGACGAGGAGCTTTCTTGGAAAGTGGGCTCTTTCCGGGGTTCTTATCCTCCTGATGTTCAGGCGAAGGTCGAGCGAGACTGGTTGAAGTATGGGTTCGACCGTCTGTGATGGGCAAATAAAGCTAGCACTGCAAAAGCTCTGCGCTCGTCATCTCCATGGACTTGTTCTTCCCTCCTATGGGGTCTTCAGAAGGCCTCTAAAACAATTCAGTACCGAAGGGGTGGTGTGTCAAAGGGTGTCATGCAGATCGAGGGGCATGGCCAGCAAGCAATTGACCAATATGAAAAGCTGTGGGCGGATCACCTCATGTTAAAGAAAGCTTGGAGACCCGTCGGTCAGGTCGGGTAATGTAATACCTCTGGTCCCCACCGTTGTTCCTCGCGGAACACCATACAATATGCTCTGTTTTGATTACTCTATATTTCGACCACCACCTATTTAGTATGGCTGAAATTGAGAATATATCTTATTATACGTATAAGAATGAGATAAGTGAAATTTCAGCCCTTTCAGACTATTATTTTGATGCTTTACCAAAGAAATATAGCGTTTATTGATTTTCCAGATTTATATGTATATCTCTCTCTCTCTCATTACTTCAATCTATCTTTTCTTACTTTATGAGTACCTAGGGTACTTATACTCTCTAGTTTCTATAATCGTGATAACTTATCCTAAGTATGTATGGTTTTTGAGATATGAAGTAGTACTTTATCGCATTTATTATGGTATTCTGGTGATCGGGTCGGCCAGAAATTACGTTAGTTAGGGCAAGGGTGTTAAACTTCATGACCCGAGGCGGACTAGCGTTCTCGAATTCATCTTTCGGGAAACCAGTGTCATGATTTTGCTGTCAAACTGAGTTCGAAAACTACTATAACAGGACCCTTCGGTGAGGGTTTACGGTGAATGAAGCACACATATACACACAATATAACAGGACGTCGTAGAGGTGATAAATATTGCAGTGTTGCAATAAAGTAGAGGATAACGTGCAGATGACGAAGCAAGAACGAGGGAAGCCTCTAACTATACTATCTCAATGCCCTAAACTCTGGACGTTCTGCAGTCACGCCCGGAGGTTTTCATATACTGCTAACAAGATACCATGCTCATCCCAGTTGATGGAGCCATTCAGTGGGCTCTAAATATATCTTCTACATAGCCCTAGAGGTTATAGACCAGTTCTTTATATCCGGTTAGCATGCATGATGGAAAAGGGGACAAGTAACTTCTGCACCAAAAGCTGCGCTCGTAAGTTTTAACAGAAGTCACACCAATTAAATGGAACAACTCGTCAAGACGCACCGAGCGATATCTCACAGGGTCCACTTGGTCAGGCCTAACCTGTATATTCATCAACTATCAGGGCCATGAGTTTAGAAGCCTAGGCAGCCTGGAAATGATATAAGATGCTTGGGGGTCAATTGTCTCAGTGACAGGTTGGCATAGAATCGATCTAATTTGATCTAATCGAGATTTTCCTTTCTTTCACCATAATTCTACGATCTACAAACGCGTCGCGATGCCTTCTCGATCATAAACATCAATAACTATAAGGAAGACCCGCGTCATTCTTGCGGAAGATTCCATCTTATCTGATCGACTATCCCATCTATGCACGTCGGTCCTCCTTCACAATCATTCACAACCTCTCCCTGTTCAATCTCATACTCTCTTGATATTCTGATTAGGACTGCTCAGTCCTTCTATCACCTCGTGAGTTCCTTTCTCTCATACTGGGCGCAAATATTTCCCAAATCCCACCCTCCCCTCCTTCCTGTTTAGGAGTTTGCCCCCATACCACGTGCACCTCCAGATTCAATCACAATCCCCAAGCTACTTTTCTGAATTTTTCGAAAGTCGTCATTCTGATATCTCCCCTCCGCGTCTCTTCACCCTTCACCCTTCACACTCACGACGAACAAGTATCAACACCCCGTCTCACTCCCTGAACCGTCCACACAAGACATACTGATCATCTCAAGCTCTCTAGTTTCAGGATGGCTCCTATCAAGAGCACCCTTAAGACCGCCATGCCCAACACGGTCTCCATCACGGCGGAGGAGTACCGCAAGCTGGTAAGCTACTCATTCTTCCCAACAAAAAAAATGCACCACCCCGATTCCGGACTGCATCCTCTCAGTCATCCTTTCTCATCACTGACCTTTTGACATATTCTTGATAACTAACATCTTTATAGCTCCATGACTCTGCAGAGCTGAGTAAGACCATCTCCCACATCCTGCCATCTGGGCCTATACAAGCAGCCCAGTTCAAAAAATAGCATTTAAACTGACAATTCACTTACAGGCAGACTGCGCGCCGCTCTCCAACCTGCTCCGCGTGAGACCAAGGGTGTAAGATACAACCTCACTTCAGAAAGATGTCTCTCACCCGCTAAACTTCTCATCTTAGATGCTAATCAACCCTGTGGAACTTGCATCCGGCCATGTAGCCCGAGTTAACACACAAACCGCAGGAGAGCTCGCCAGGACTGCCCGCCCCGACCTCTGCACTGCCAGCGACCTGGACGCTGGTGACCGGTTTGCCCTGGCAAGTCTCGCATCCGCTCTGGAGGAGACTAGCACCACGGAACCGGAGGACGACTCTGAGTCTCGCCAAAAGCCCAGCTCCAGCGTCGTCCTGCTCCCCCCTGTCCCGGTCACCCACGCCCAGGTCGCTGCCGCCGTCCGAGGAGGGCCGTTGATCCAGATCTACCTGCAACGCAATAGCAACCAGGTCAATGTCACCTTCGCCCACCCTGAGGCCGCCGCCGCTCTTATCACCCACGCCGAATCTACCCACTTCTATGTTGCCGGTCATAAGGTAAGTACCTAATCAATTCCTCCTATCTAACATTGTTTCTGTATCTTTTATGGATTAAGTTTGGTATCGGATACCATATTCTAACATATTTTCCATCGTGTACAGACCATTGTCAAATGGGCCCCGCGCGCCTATATCGCCCCCCAATATGTCTACCAGCAAGTTCAAGATGGCACAGTCAGCCGAAACCTGGTAATCAAGAAAGTCAATGCAACGGTCACCGAAGAGTCTCTCCGCCGGGACCTAAAGCACATCCACAACCTGACCATCATCTCTATCAAATTCGAAAATGAAAACGTCTACATCTCGACAAGCTCGACGGGTGGTGCGCTGTACGCCCGTACATGCTTAAAGTCCCGTGCCGCCTACAAGGATATGCGGATCGACTTTTACGAGGATGAGTGCGCGAAGCCTCTCCCGAAGACTCGTCGTTCTGCTGCTGTCGCTGTTCCCAAGGCGCCGAAGAAGGATCAGAGCCCGGGTTACAATCCCTTCGAGCTGCTCTCCCAGGACGAGTTCGAGTTGGCCGATGATGAAGATGACGACGAAGATGAGGACGAGGACATCGAGATCTAGACTGGGCGTCTTCTTTTCGCTTTTTTGCATTTAGGGCATCTAAGCTTTGGGTGGAAATTGATGATTTGACGCCATAATATCCTAGACGGGATTTTCTTTCTTTGCCATTTCGATGAAGATAACATCTGAATAGAGCAAAGTGTTTTCGGGATTGCAACTTTCATATCTAGAACTTTGTATATAGCATCCCCTCGTATTTGTTGTAGAATACTAGGTATGAAGCCCGGTTGACGGGGCAGTGACGTGAATTTGAAGATAGATGGTCTCGATTCACTTGCCGCATATCGGACGAAACATTCGCTGGCTGTATACTAGACGAAATATTTACTGGGTGTATTTCGGACGAAACATTCTGCGTAGAGCCCAAGGCTAAGTCTATATTGAGGACAACATCTCGAGAGGCTACGGGAATCTCCAAGAATGTCTGTAGCTGACATAGAGTTATCAGGAGTACACAGGGACAGATATATACGTCCGTTGTTCATGTCTGATATCCGTGGAAATAAATGGCCATCGCTCTTCCAGCAAAAGAACCACAACAGCTACCTAGGTCAATATCGCATCGACATATAACCTCGATAACAAACTCCCAACCCCAGACTACGTCATGTACCAAATTGAACAAACATAAAAAACCCGGTGTTAATTTGAGCAGATTTTCCTGGCCTATGCTAGGTATATTTTCCAGCCGTACAAAACAGCGCCAGCGAAAAAACACAAAAAGAAGACATTAGGGATTTCTAAATCCCGTCTTGCCCACCGAACCCACAGTTCACACAATCCAGTCAGACCACCGGTCAACCGGGTTAAAAGAAACCGATAATCCGACTGATCTCCAAAACCGCTCATGACAACGCTCTACCTAACCACCATCAATCCCGAATCAAACCCACCCAACACAGAAGATATTCTCCATGGAAACAAAAAAAAGGGAAAGGAGAGTGAAAAAAATAAAAGTTCGTAATAGTATTCTTTGTTCTCTTTTCCCGCTCCATGAAAGAAAGGCACCGTTTTTGACTTTGCATAAATTTCTCTTTTTTTAATTTGGCTTTTTTCGTATGTTCCGCGCCGCTTGCCCATAAAACCAGGATATGATAGAACGGGAGGGACACACAAAAAAAGAAAAAAGAAGAAATTTAACGGTAAGACTTCTGGTAACGGGCGCGGGCACCGCGACCACCGAACTTCTTGGGCTCGGCCCGACGGTTATCGGCGACCAGGAGGGTGCGGTCGTACTGGACGAAGGCCTGCTTGAGCTGGTTCTTGGAGTGCTCGTCGACGTACTTCTGGTAGTAGGCGACAATGGACTTGGCGATGGCCTGACGGATGGCGTAGACCTGGGAGGTGTGACCACCACCGGTGACGCGGACGCGGATGTCGACACCGGCGAACTTGTCAGCGCCGACGATCAGGAGGGGCTCGTAGACCTATTTGTGGTGAAAAGAAATGACGTTAGAAAAAAATGAGTTCTTGTTGGTTGATATAAAGTGTCCGCTGCCGGTTTGGACGTCCGAGTCACTTCGTCGATCGCGTGACTGTTCCATTCGTTGTCGCGGCAGGGGGGATTGTGGTGGGTGGGCGATAGAAGGAAGCGTACCTTGAAGCGCAGGATCTCAGGCTGGACCAGAGAGAGGGGCTGGCCGTTGACCTTGATGAGGCCCTTGCCTTGCTGTAAAATCGAAAAGTCTCAGTATGCCGTTCATTCCGAAAGATGTAACTCGCATGATTCCATCATTGCGCCGTATGGGAGTTCCGAATTCCACATCGCCCGTCGCCAATCCAATATCCATCAGTGTCGTTCCATAATTTTCGAATCTTGAATCTCCCCGCGTCTCTTTTCGCGATTTTTTTTTCCTCCGAGCGATGTGTCCTCCATAATATTCCAATAGACGCAATGATCGTAGAGCGGGTGGTGTTTGTGGTTTCATTTCAGGGCTTCGTCTTCATACCTTGCAGTGGGCGACAGCGGTGGCTATTTCAAAGTCGATCATCAGCACAAAACGTTCTCTTCCACGCAAAAATTCCCGGGACCATCACGGGGTCTTACCCGTCTTCTTCTTGCCGAAGCATTGCACACTCGGGGCGGTAGAAGCCATGGTGGGTGATATGGCCCTTGTCGGTGTCGATAGGGGAGGGAGTGTGTTGTCGTGGGAGATGGAAAGAAGTCGGCCACGAATTCCCACACTACGGCGATTCGCCTGAATTGCCCTTCCGTGCGGGTTTCGCTTAGTGGGAGCTAGTCCGGATGGGGTTAGTGCAAGAAATGGCTTAGGGCTTGGGTCACGTGTCGGTTTCCAGACTCGGGGCGGAGATGAGCGGCAGGAAAGTTCGGGGTTGAGCGGGTTGGACAGGTCTTTTGCGATCAGCTGTGTTTTTGTTGGACAATTCCAGTATCACCACCGGGATCTCCTCTACGCTTCTTGATTTAGTTTTCATTCAAGATGTCGCAGACGGTTGGAAAGGTATGTCAAGTCCATTTTGTGCTAGCAATTGCTGCGCAAACTCCGCTCAATACCCCCAATATAACTCCTATATCTAACCTTTGCTATTGTCTAGACCCGTCTTGCCTACTCTCGAGCATGGCACTATGTCGATGCCGGCTCTGACCCTCGTTCCCTCGGCCGTCTGGCCTCATCTATTGCCCTCGTCCTCATGGGCAAGCACAAGCCGATCTATGATCCCTCGACAGATTGCGGTGACTACGTGGTCGTCGCCGGCTGCCACGACCTCCGGACAACTGGCAAGAAGCGTTTCCAGAAGATGTACTATTCCCACACGACTCGCCCGGGTAGCTTGAAGAGCATGACTATGGATCAGATGTTTGCGAAGTGGGGTGGTGGTGAAGTCCTGCGCCGCGCAGTCAAGGGCATGTTGCCCAAGAACCGGCTGCAGGAGCCGCGGTTGGCTCGTCTGAAGAGTGAGTATTGATATCCGCGGAGACTTTCGGGGAAGTGATGTTCGTGTCTAACGTATTCCGTTACAGCTTTCGAAGGTCTCGCGCATCCTTACAAGGAGAACATTGTCAAGTTCGGCAACAAGTCCGTCCTGGGCCAGCCCGAGGTCCAAGCTGCCTTCAAGGAGGAGGCCAAGCCATCGGCATAGACACCTACATTTCCTCTCTTCTGTCTCGCCATCTACAACTTGATTACCGGGTTCTAGCCCGGATCTGTCCGTGTACTGTAAATTATTTTTCTGCGTTATGATCCAAACCGCAAGCGCATGGGTGTGGAGTCCAATATTCGGGAATGACCTTTTTTTTCTTTCTGTTTTCTAACATCCCCTGTTCTAACTACTTTTACCTCTCCTCCGCTATGTTCATTCCCATTGGCATGTATTTATAGCAAAGCAAAAAATCATATTGGAAGAAGAAATGTGTTCCAAATTGACATTGAGTCGTGTCGTGGCACGCCCAGTGGTATATATAGACATGACATTATGTACAGAAAAGAAGCATGCTAGAAACTCCAAACTCGGACATCCCCGATATGGAAACGGTTTACAGGCGGGCCTTCTGGCCGCGAGCCACGGTGCACTTGATGAGACCGTTAGGGCCGGACTGAGGAGCGTACACCTCGGCGTCCTTGCCGGTGTTCTTGGTACCCTTGTGCCAGCTGAGATCTGTACAGAGAACTCGTTAGAAACAGTCCTTAAATCGCAGAATAGAAAATACATACCAATCTCAAAGTAGTGAATGTTGGGCAGAGCGTAGTCGACAGTCTCGAGCAGAGGCACGGCAGCCAGAATCTGCTCACCCATCTTGTACATAGTAGCCTGCACACTGGCAGAGTTATCCTCAGCGAAAGTCTTGAGGGTAGTGTTACGAGCAGTCTCCCAGGCATAGTCAAAGTTCTGAGTGTTGGTCTTGACATCCTGCAGGCTAGCGAAGCGGCGCCACTGCCAGCCAGCAGCAACCTTGGTGCTGAGAATACGGTCCCAGGTCTCCTTGAGGGTGGTGAACTCGTCACGGAGGAAGCCCCAGAACTGGGAACCGGTGCTCTTGAGGACGGTCAGGCCGTCAATGGAGGAGTGAATATCGATACCCTTGCCCTCGATGACGTCGACCTGGACGTTGCGGGTCTCGGGGCTGTCCTTGATGAAGGAGTGGGGGTGGGCCTTGCCGTCGATGTTCATGCGCACCCAGCGGTGGGTGATGATGTTGACGTGGGCGGCGTGGATGTGCGAGTACTTCTCGATGAAGTGTGTGCCGAGGATGGAGCCGAACACTTCGGGAGTAGTGACGGGCTGCTGCTTAGCAGTGATGTAGATGGTGTTCTTAATAGAGTCGGTGGCGACGACAACGCTGTTATCGGCCTTGGTGTAGCTGTTTTTTGCGCAATTGCTCGGTTAGTTTGATTTGTCGCAAAGCTATCTGGATCCCGCGGAGACTGCCGGAGTGGGAGAGCGCGGAGTGGAGAGCTCAACAGAATTGGTGACTTACGAGGTCTCGATATCACCCTCGAGCAGGACGCAGACGGTCATCTCAACGACGGTCTGGACACCGGTCTTCTCATCGCGGTGAACCTTGTAAACGCGGACATTGTCCTTGCCGTAGCGGGCAGCAGCGAGGGAGCTCATGATGATGGTGGTGGTGAGGAGAAAGATAGTCGCACGATAAGAAGGATAAGAGATAGAGCTGTCACGGACAGGCTAGTAAATGGGCGAGGGATTGAGAAAGGTACGGGAGAATCAAGAAGAGCAAGTCTGGTCGGATCTCAGAAACAGCGCCGGGCAAGTCTATTTATTTGGAAGTGAACAACCGCGGGTCAAATGGGCTGATGCGACAAGAAAAAGAGAGAAATCTCCAAGTATCGGGCACCTCCGATGGCCGCGAGTGGCCGATCCCCACCGAAGTCTTATCGGCTCTTTCAACGGTCTTTTTGGCTTCGTGCTTTCTTCTCCATGCTGGACTTACCAGAATGGAGAATACCTGGACTGTTAATCTAGAAGAACTCCATGACTAACGTGATCCGGCCATCATCCCCAACTCAAGGGGGAACATATCCAACCATCTCTGTCTTTCCCCAGACTTCGGGATCTAACCCGGTTTTCCAACAAGGCCAACCTTTTCCCATTGCAGAAACACGCGAGTGGACCCTCCAGCAGCCTCAATCTTCCACTCCCGACCGCCGAATTTCCGGCGCCCGAGCCCACTCTGCCCACCCGCTGGCTGCTCTTGATTTGACAGATTTGGTGGTGCTTTTGGCACTGGCGGGCTTTGACTACAAATCCCGCTGGGAAGAGCAAACCCCTTGGAATTCAGGCACGACTCCCTCTCCGGTCGGCGATCTCCACCGGTTGATTGTCGCGGGGAAATGCGATCAGCCCAGGTTTCGAGACCACGTATCTCGTGTAGCCTTTAAGTGGTTGTACTTTAAAGTCGTGGGGGAAAGTTGAAATCAACTAATAGTCTTCCTCCACACTTTGTCGTTGTCCAACATTTTGTCCATTAGTCCATTACATTCTACTTTACCCTGTTGAGGTGACCTATTTTAACATAGTTGACTATACAATTGGAATGATTGAATTGAAGTTATTCTTACTTTCAACTATGCTTGACTTGATAAGTCACAGTGAGGCATAATATGGCCAGCATGCAATGCCTTCAGCTTAGAGCTATACTCCACATACTACTGATGAACCGCAGCGGGACAACTATCAACTACTACTCTACCAGAAATACACCCAATAACATCCTCCTTTGCTAACATGAAAAGCTCCAAGGGTCCAAACCTACCCTTCAGGCGTCCCATTCTGCCTCTACCCCAATCTGACCATCACGACAATCCCACCTCTTGAACCACCCCGCACTCCTAACCATACAGACTTTCAGCATCTTAACACAATCACTATATCACTATGAAGCTCGTAATCGGCGGTTCAACCGGCTACGTCGCCACAGAAGTACTCTCTCAGGCTCTCAAAAATCCTACAATCACCTCGATCATTGCTCTCGGTCGACGCGAGGCCGAACTAACACCAGAGACTGGCTCCGACGCTGCAAAGCTGAAGGTCCTTGTCTGCGATAACTTTGGGGATTATCCCGATAACGTGAAAGCAGAGCTTGAGAATGCAGATGCTTGTATCTGGTAGGATCTATATCTCCATTCCAACTTGCTTAGATTTTCGTCCCTCCATACAAACCCCAATGAACCGCCCAAGGAAGTAACATCCAATCAATTGCAAGGCTGACAATTCACAAACCAGGACCATCGCCATAACACCTATAAGACTTAACACCGTCCCATGGGAAGAAACATGCAAAGTCTCACGCGACTACGCAACCACAGCGATAAAAACCCTGGACATCCTCCGCCAACCCCAATCCCAGGAGAAACCACTCCGCTTCCTCTACATGAGCGGACACCTCACGCTGCGTAGTCGGGACGATATCCCCGCCGCTTTACGGGACAGCGGCCTAATTGACTACGGATTACTACGGGTACGTAAACGTACAAGCAAATCAAAGCTCTTGTCTAGGCCCTTCCGGGCTCATTCATGTTTCGAATAGAAAGGTACATACGATGCTAATGCTGCTTAGGGAGAAGCTGAGACACTGATTCTTAACTACGCAGAGCAGTCTCACGGGGCAGTTCAATCCTGCATCGTGAAACCGGGACTCATCGATGCTCCGGGCGTGGAGAGGCGTGAGATCCCCGGTATCCCGCACATTGAATTGACTGATATTGCGGCTGCGATGCTGGACCAGGTTATTGGTGGGTTTGAGAAGGATACGTTGAGTAATGATGATTTGGCGCGGATTGGGCAGAGGGCTTTGGTCGGGTAGTTGAATTCTTGAGGGGTTCTCTTCTTGAGTGGGGAGTGGAAGGGATGGTATTTTGCTTGTTTATCAGTTGTTTAGGTTGTATTTGCAGTCATATCTCACTAGAGAGGTTGAACAAGGTAGCAGATAGCTGGAAAATATGGATGAGGTTAAGAGCATGTATTACCATGATCCAGACATGTATCAAGCACAAGATGCTTAGAAGGCAAGGCTCTAGTATCCACTGGTATAATTCTTGCTGTCAGAGTTCTGTGATGCTTCGATTTAAACAGTGCCGACTTCACTCGAATATTTTCCTTTCTTCTGGTTCGTGGTGGGAAATATCGAAGGAGAATAAATGTAGGAGTATCGGGGTGCGCCAGCCTAGTGTCATGTCAATGGTACCAGCACCCGATATCAACGCTAAAGCCGATGAACTGATGAAATATTGAGAGAGATAAACTTCCAGGTATATTGGGAGTTCTTGACCCTCGGATCGAATGCGTGTAGATGGAGATGTTGATGGAGGGAAGCGATCCCTTTAAATAGATCGAGTACTTCGCTGTCTCGGGCACTGCTGTATGCAAGACAGTGACCATAAAGGCTTAATTGAATGAAACATAATTAATTACCAGCTTATATTAGAATATATAGAAGTAGGCAGACAGTATACTTTTCTACTTAGTTGCTACCAAGTGGCTACATATCGGGGTCCGCGGGCGCTTGTTGCCTCACCCCTCTCTTGATTTACCTACAACATAGAAAATGAATCGAAAGTTTCTACTGGTCAATACATTATAGCACTGTTGATTCCATCCATCTTCCTAGTCAGGGCATTCGCGTGAAAACATAGATACGTAGCAGCAAGTACGAAACCCTCTCGGGCCCGCGGACTCCGGGACCCGGCGTCCGCGGGGTGTTCCTTGGATCGCCTTTGGGGGGAATTTGTGGAGTATCGTGGGGCACTTTCAACATGTATCGTCATTGAATATACATAGCACAAGAAAATAGTGCCATTACCATAATAGAGCTTGATCGTGATACAAAAAGGGGAAGGATCAAGCCACTCAAAGAGCTTAATCAGATCCTTCGCACTAGCCAGCCTATGCCGTTGAAGTGTCACTGTATCGCTGCGAAATAAGTGCCTATTTGGGTAGTCCACTAGAGAAGTACGATCAGAAAGTGGATCATACCCGGCGGGCACAATTGGACCAACGATATTTGTTGGTCGAATTAGAATGCTCTGCGACAACTTTATCATCGCTTGGAACATCCCCTTCGGGTTGTTACCTTGCTACCATGTCCCTTGGACTCGAGGCCATAAATACCTCTGATCCCCCGCGAGTAATCGGGAGGTCTGTACTCTTCAATGTCGAAGTATCTATATCCAACCCGTTCTCTTGCGCGCCCGATAGGACTTACTCGAAGCCTTTCTACGCCCCGTCTAGCTTTCATCGACGTGAGTAGCTAACCTAGCTACACCCAGATCTCAGTATCATGCACAGACAGAGCTAACACCACCCTAGGGCTATACAACCCACGCAACGCAGAAATACAAGCCCTCGATTCCTCTCGTACGAGGCATCAGCACTAGAAAACCACGTCGCATTCTTCCTAAACCTACCTTCACCATGCCCGCCAACCAACGAGCCACAACAGCACCCCTCCACACCGAAACAGATCCAAACAAGAAATACACCTACCTCGCCGAAACAACCCCCCACCTCGCCACAATTCTGGGCTTCCCCTCCCACTGCTCAACCTTCCCATCCCTCTACGAGCGCACATGCAGCGAAATCGTCGATCTAGCCGGTACAATCGCCTCCTTCGAACCAGTCCGTCTCCACGTCCGACCAGAAGATCAACCGCGGGCGCAAAAGCTAGTCGATGAGCGCATGGTAGCCGCCCCGGCCGAACATCGCGCTCGAATTAGACTCATCGCCGCGCCGACGAATCACATCTGGGTGCGAGATACGGGACCCGTGTACGTGCGCGGCGCGGACGATGGAAAGCGATACGCGATTGATTTCCGATTCTGCGAGTGGGGGAATAAACTCGGAGAGCGGATTTATAATAGCAGCGTGGACAAGGTCGCTGCATTGAAAGCCGAAGCCGAAGCCGAAGCAGACGAATCAGACTGGCCGATTATGGACGAGCAGGTGCGGTCTGAGAATACCGCGTTTGCGCAGCGAGTGCTGGAGCTTGAGAATGAGCTTTATCCGGAGTCGCCCGTTTCGCGGGTCGTTTCTGGGGTGAGGCTTGAAGGTGGTGGGATTGAGATGGATGGGGAAGGGACATTTATGGCGATGGAGAGTAGTGTGACTGTGTCATCGCGGAACGAGGGATTATCCCGTGAGACCATTGAGAACGAATTATCCCGGCTGCTGGGGATTAAAAAGTTCATTTGGATTCCTGGTCGGGAGGGTCTGGATATCACCGATTACCACATCGATGCCGAAGCGCGGTTTATTCGGCCCGGCGTCGTTGTCGTGGGGAGACCGCATCCCAAGTGTGAACAGGTGTTTTGGGATGTGTATAATGAGATGCGTGCGATTCTGGATACCGCGACTGATGCGCAGGGTCGCAAGTTGCAGGTCTATGATATCGAGGAGCCGGATCCGGATTTGGTTAGGGGCGATGTGCCTGGGGAGGAGATTGAGCCTGCAGCCTCGTATGTGAACTTTTATTTCACGAATGGGGGACTCGTTATTCCGGCTTTTGGAGATGCCGTGACTGATGCGAAGGCGTTGGAGACGTTGAGCAAGTTGGTTCCCGAGCGACGGGTTTGCCAGGTCGCTGTCAATGCGCTACCCCGGACTGGAGGTGTCTTGCATTGTACGACGCAGCAGGTGCTGTGATGATCTATGGACTATCGTAATTAGCGAGGCGTCTATAGAGTGGAGCTCATTGTTGGTGTTGGTGTTTTCTTATACATTGAATTTGTGAATCTTTATCAGCGTAGTCTAACAGATAGTGACAATAGAAGTGTATGTACCTCGTTCTTATCAGGTGGAATGATTCCAAGGGTGGTCAATAATCATGCAACTAGCTTTGTAGTTATCCGCTAAGAATCGTAGACAAGGCTGTGGTTCATGGAATGTCTTATCTCGGTTAAGCACGGGTGAGTCACGTTGAATCACGAAGAGTAAAACCCACTTGTCATCGAGATAAGAGCCAATGCGGGGCGACGCGTAACGAAGCTCACGATAGCCATAGCTTGATAACTATAGCTCATGATACATAACAGCAACTGAAAACACTTAAATACTCCTCCATAAATCATCCAAATATCCTATTCCTTTCCTGCCACTACATCAATCAACCTCAACCCATTAAAGCTCCCTCAATCCAGCCCCCAAAATACACTCAACCACCTCGAATCCAACAACAACTACACCAACATCTGCAATGTCCAACTCAGACTCTGAACCATTCCTCACCGAAATCCCCCCAATCCCAGAAGGCGAATTCTGCATCTACGGCACAGTCCACGCATACCCCGAGCACGCCGACGCCCTAGAAGCAGTCTACGCCGAGACAACTCGTCTCGCGCAATTCGAACCCGGCGCGATATACTACTGTCTCACGCGGGACAGCGAGCAGCCTCATATATTCTATTTCTTCGAGCAATACACGGGCAAACAGGCATTTGACGATCATAATGCGCAGCCGATTATTCAGAAGTTGATGGAGGATAAATTTATTCGGGGTGTGAAGGCTAAGTTTGGGAAACAGATTAAGCCGAGGGTGGCTGTTGAGGGGAGTGGATGATATTGTACATGTATTTAGATTATAGAGTACAGTTGTGTTTGGGGAACGGGGAATGGATGATCAGAGAATTGGATCTCTCCTGTGTGAGAATCCCGGCTTAATGCTCGCAAAGCGAGAAATGGCCTATCTGGAATGCAGCATTACTTTCTTCAGACTTGAGGCCTCGCTCTGCCATAAGCTCAACTCGATAAGCCTTAGCTTCTTCCATGGTAATCGAGTTCACACCTTCACCACGCTTCTGCGTCTCCGGTCTCCAATCCTCGCGCTGCGGCGGTACATTCGCAGACGAGATAATCCGCATATGCGGATCCACGAGGAACAGTGCAAGGATCTTCCTGTGACCGGGCTTGGATCGATCATCCAGGGAGAAGGGAGAAACTTGGTGTTGCAGGGTATTAGGGAATGTAATGATGCGGCCTTCTTTGGAGACGACGCTGCCCAGTTCTTGCGTGATCAAGTCGTCGTTTTGGTTTTGGAGGCCTTCGTGGTAGCCGAATACTTGTTGCATGAATTCATGTCGTTCTTGTTCGTAGCTGATGTCCATATCGTCCATTCCTCGGTGGCGGAATGCTAGTGAGCTGGGGGTGATATTCTCGGAATCGTAGTAGTAAATTGCAGACGCGGCAATACGTTCGTTCTAAACAGGGTATTATAAGACAGTTTCTCTGTGGGAGAACCAAATACTCACTAATTGCCCCTCAATATGCCAAGTTCCTCCTTCATAGTCGGGCTTCTCGGGGTTTAACTCAATATTCGCCAGCTTCACAATAACTTGTATCTTGCCCTCGGGAAAATTTTTCAAAAAGTCGAATTTTTCCTCAAAGTCTCTGGTCTTGAACTCGCCTGGTTCAGGCTGGACAATCTTCCGAGTTGAAAACCAAGCAGACATCCGTTCCTCATATTCATCATAATCAGCATCGTCCTCATCCTCGGGATATTCCGGCTCGCCCTTGCCATCATCCTCGTACTCAACTGCAGTAAACTTGATTCGTTCATTGAAGTATTCTTTCTCGCCCAATGACTGCTCCCAGAGAGGTATCGTCTGAGCAAGAATCTTTTCCACAACCTCATAGAGCGCGCGGTGCTTGACAGGATGGGCGTTATTGATGTAAGACAGAATCTGACACCCATCCTTGGTGAGCTTCACATCACAGGGCAGCCACTGGAACTTGGTACTCAGGACGGCTGGATGGGGTCGGTCGCGATAAGAAGAAGTTGGACCTTTCTCTGGTCTAGCCTCAGCTTCCTTCCGACGAGGAAGCCATTGCCCTTCTCCCATGCTGTCGATACAGTCATCTAGACCAATCGTCCGGTCAGGAAAAACATGCGTGCGTCCATAGATCACCGGGAAAAGTGACGGATGCACTAGATCAACCACCTTGTTATCCGAACCGGGATGGTAATCTTTCTCCTCCTCGGGGACATTTTCAAAAGGAAGAACTGCCTCTTTCAGCTCATCCTGTACCTCTTTCGAAACGGCCGTATCAGACTTGACAACTCCGGCATCAAAAACTTCCACAAACCCGGACTGCTGCAAAATGCCCGCCTTCCACTGTAACTCCTTGACGATCCAATCCATCATCTTGGGCGACGCGTCTTGTCCGCTGTTCGCAACCTCTTCGCGCCATTTCGCGATGATATGCTCATCAAAGACCTTACGCTCCCACTCGGGCTTATCAGTAATGATATTCATGATTTGCATCATGTTAATCTCCCGCTTGGTAAGAAGCTGACTGCAACAACAATTTCGTCAACAATCAACACACAAGAAAATAGAATTCGATCCATTTCTTACTTGAGATACCCATCTTGAAGATGTTCCGGATCGAGAGCATTCGGGAACCCCGAAATATACCCGCTAAGCACATTTGCCTAATCTCGTCAGAAAAAAACCAAATCACCACGGAGTGAAAGACGCCTTTCGCACCTCGGGAAAGTCGTTCAGGGGCAGGTTGAACCCCGGCATCTGGAGGGACCAGTTGCCAACGGCGTTCATCCTGATTCTGCTCGCACAGAAGGTGCGCCGTTGTAGTCTTGGACTTAGGAATGATCGGCACCGGAGCATTCTGTTTTCAGGGTTGGTGGTTGGAGATCTGCGAGGTGCGGCTGCAGCTACAGGGTCTTTCAGGCAGAAATCAGGCAGAGATATACGCTAGCTGGACAGGGCCTAGGTTGTGGCAGAAATTTTGAAAGTGAGGATAGAGACAACTAGACTCAGTTGATTGTGCCGGCCATCTGAGGGGTGGTATTCTATTATCAATTGTAAATGATAAGATGAGGGCTGTTTGATGTGCGACTAGCTTCGACAATGCCGAAGCGGCTGGGCGTACGCACCGCTCGAAGTCAAGCTAGAATTGATAGCACAGGCATGGACATGGCTAGATACTGAATCCTGCTAAATATGAGGTGACCTATTACAGTTATTGAAAGTCAATTACAGTTAGTTTTCCTCAAACAAAACAGTCATCAATAGCAGATTTTGCAACTTTTGTGTGCTCGGTATTATCCCACCAGCAAGTCGAATAGCATAGCATACAAGGCCAAACCCTCCAAACACAAACCTGATCAAATGGTACCAATCCATGGAATAGCGCTGCACTGTAGGGATTCTCAGATTAAAAAGTAGAATGCTGATTACTGTCGGCTATGGGAATGGAGGTTACTTTGCAGCCAGACAGAGCATGCATACCTGATATACCCGACATCCAAGAGCGTCCATTATAGTATCGCTGAGCGGATGTCAATGGCTGGTAATGACAACTAGATATTACCAAAATGGACTCCGATAGACCTGTAAATGGGCCCCTAAATACAATGCAGCAAAGCTGCTAGACCTCAATCCCCAAGAACCAAAATTGCAAGCCTTCCGTAACTATACCTACTACAACACATCAATGATACTTCCATAACTTCCACAAGTAACAGATATCTTTAAAACCTTCCACTTCTCTCCTTACCATCCACGGTGGATGTAGGATCCACTTGCGGCTGATCGAGGATCCACCTCCACAAAACCCAATATCGTCGCCTCGATAGCAGCCAGCACATTATACTAATCACGTATATCTAGAACTTTACATTCTTCTCTTACTAGTAGTCATCTTTACCAGGAAGAGGTATTCAAGATATCATAATAGTCACAGTAGAAGCGTTAATACTAATGATAGTGACATGACATGACGCATTCCACATCCAACATTCCACAAACTATCATCTATAAACAAGCATACCTCCAAAACATAGAATAGAGAAAATAGTCTCCACGCTCTGCGTGTATCATTTTACTCTTACTCTTGCCTTATCCCGAATCCTTAAAAAATCATACCCAAAACGCCAACATGGAATCCAGTCCAATCCAATCCAATCAAACCCAACCCATAAAAACCAACCCGACATCAAACCATCCCCCTCAAACATCTAAATCCAAAACAAACATTCATCTAGAATTTTCTTCGTTCTTTCCAATATCACACCTCCCCCCCCCCCCCCCCCGATTCCATCCCCCTCACAAACTCAACTGATCAATACTCCCCACCCTCCCACCACCTCCAAGCCTCCCACCCCCCTTCGTAACCATCCCCAACCGATAAAACCTCTCTTCCCCCGCCGGCGTGCGTCCCCCAATATACCATTTCTCTGGACCGAGCGCATCCCTGAACCCGCCCGAGCCAGAGGACGAGTCACTGCCGCGGCGTTGGCGGTCTGGGCCGCGGGAGATGGGGATTGGCGTGGAGGTTGATGTTGCGGAGGGGGTTTGGGGTTGAGAGGTTGTTGGATCGGTGGTGTGGTAGTGGTGCGAGTGGTATGATTGTGGTTGTGTGGTTGATGTCGATGCTGATGCGGAGGGGGAGGTGGCGGAGGTTGAGGAAGAAGGGGCGGGTTGTGAAGAGGAGTGTTGGTGTTGGTGTTGGCCTGATTTGGAGGCTATTGTGCGGGCGCTTGTAGAGATTTGTGCTGAGGATAGCGACGAGGAGGTTGTGGATTGTTGGGAGGCGGTTTTGAGGGTGGACTGGGCGCGGAAGGCGGCCAGGAAGTTGGCGAGGAAGGGTCTGTTGGTGCTCATGACTGCTGGAGAAAGCAGTGCTTGTAGACTTGTGTCGTGATCGTGGTAAGAGGTGATATCGTAGAGGATGAAGTGGTAGCGGTGGTGGTGGTTCGCAAAGGCAGAACAAGCGAGGCAAGAGTTGAAGTCCGAACCGGATATCGATCCGCTCAGCGCCAGAGCAGCGGGCGGGAACTAAATAACAGCCTGAACCCGCAGGGTTGTCCACCAAGGTCTTATTCCCCTCTCACAATGTCAAAACGGGGGAGTTCCCTTAATCCGAGAGGCTCAAGAAGAGGAGTTGAATCGTGTGGAGGATGTCTGGAGGGCGGGGTGGAAAGAGTTCGATGGAGGATCCCGAGTTTATCCCCCGGAGACCCGGTGGGGCCAATCAGGCGTGGGGGATTATGGAGATGACGTCGAGCAGGGAGTTTTCGGAGAGTCTGGCTCGTTTTTTTTAGCGTTTGAGTTCAAGTTTTGGGACACTAGTTGAACTAGTTGGTGAGGGGTAGGTTATCGGAGGGGCAAGTTGAGGTCCGATCTCGATGCTTTGGTATACCTTCAAGGTAGACGATTCAGCCTCGGTGTCACGGTGTACAAGTCTGCGCTGGATTACTAGCACAAGACACATTCTAGAAGTCATGGAATACCAAAATCATCGACTAATATGCATGCATCGGTAAAAGGAAGATCTCGGGATCGAATCTCCGCAGCCACCTGCGAACTAGACTATGCTCTGCATGCTGACCATCTCCCTGGTCCGACACTCCTCCTCTTCCACAAGATACCTTCTACGGATTACCAACACATAGAAATCGTTTAGTATCAAGAACGGTCATCGGGTCTATTTCTAATAGATGCTTTTCAAGTAGAACAGGATCCCTCCTGAATGACAAAAAGGAAAAGATAGCACATCGCCCTCAATCACACACACCTCCAGGAGCCCGAAGCGCACATATGTCCGTGCCAACCGTACTTACAGGAACGAGGCCATGCAGATGCACCGGGGACAAGTTTCGTATCCCAAGAGGACAAGATAAAAGTTGAGTCCCGACAATGAGAGATAAGGAAATGGATGGGAAAAAAAGGAAAAATAACAAAAAAAGATCAACGAAAGCACAGCAATAGCGAGGAACCAAAGATAAAACAGTCAAAAAACCACTGGCACAGTCCAAAACAATGTAAAAATAAAAAACAATGTAGGATGAAAATTGGTAATTTCGACAGTAGCCTTTTTTTTCTCGCAAAAAAAAAGCTTTTCTCTTTCTGGTGTCAATATCGCGCAAAAAGGAACAACACACATGCCCATGTCTATAGTTTGTGGACGCCGAACGAAACCACCCCGCCATACCGTCCCACTCATCAGGGAGATAAAGAAACAACCCAAGACTCGCAATTCAACCACCAGGGAAAAACAAACTCGCCGAAGCAGAAGAAGAGATGCGGTCCCACACCGGATGGGATCGATCGGTAAATCGGAAAACCTCCCCAAGGGAAGAAAGTGGAGAGATACAAAAAAATTGAGGATGGAAAAAGTGTAAGGATGTGGAAGAATAACCCATCAAGGATGCACGGTACAAAAAAAATAATGAAATCATGCGAGGGGAAAAGCAGAAAGGGCGCGCCTCCCAAAACACAAACGGCCAAGGAAGCAACGCCAGCTACTTGCAAGCTTAGCTCGGGGCAGAGACAACAAAGTCCAAACGAGTTGTGCTTCGCGTTCAAGTATCTGAGACACCTTTCGTTTCTCCTAGTGTTTCATCGTGTTGCATTCTGATCGGATGGTCCGCTTACTGTCTCGCGGCCTGGACGGTGCCTGTCAAATCAGATGAGCACAAAGATCACCAAGTCTCTTGAAGTATTCCATCACTTACCATCACCGCCCAGAGTAGTCGAGGCCAAGTAAAGGCCGTTCATACCGCTCTCGGGGCCGCCCGCGGTCGTGGCGGGGTAGAACTTGCGGTCGGCGTCGACAGGGGCGTGGATCGGCTCCTGGCCGGTAGCCATGGAGTGAGGGAAGACGGGGTTCATGTAACCGTTGTCGGCACCGTGCTGGAAGGTCGTCCAGTCAACACCGGGCTGACTCGCGGGGTGACCGGGCATCACCGGGTATTTGTGGTCAGGAACGACCAGGGGCTTTACCTGTTCAAGAGGACGATCAACACTCAGTTGCTGGCCATGGGCTTCGGCACCGGGGTGGTGCATGAGATACGGATTCTGCTTGGGGGCAGCCATCCAGGAGTTTCGTGCCGCGGCCTGTTCGGCGAACGCTTGGTCTTGGGGACCACGGTTCATGCCGTTGACCGGCGCCATCGCGTATCCCAGATGCTGCTGCTGGTCCGTGAATCCGGGACGGCCACCGGCCAACCCGTTGCCATTCACGGCCCCATCGCCGAACTGCGCACTCATAACGCCATTGGAAGATGGGACGGAATTACTGACTTCATCCTGAAGAGGCTTAGCGGTGTTAGCCGCCGCCGACGCAGCGGCTGCCTGTTGCTGTGAACGCTTGAGATGAGCGTGGGGGTGCGACAGGTGAGTCGCGCCAGTGGGGTTACCCCGACGGATCGAGCACTTCTGGAAGTGACGCTTCAAGATATCACTGCGGGAGAAGGTGTCCTTGCAGAGAACACACATGTAAGGGCGATCACCGGTGTCTGTAAAAGTAAAAAGGGACGCGTCGTTAGTCATAAAAATGTCATTTCCAACCGGAGGGACCAATCTTGAGGGGAGGGGGAAAGGTTTCAACTTACGGCGCAGCAGATGACGCTTCAGGTGCTTCGCGTGCAGGTAGGTCTTGTTGCAGTGCGGGCAAGGGAACTTTCCATCGGCATCCTTAGCGGGAATAGTGGTGCTCTTTGCGGAGCCATTGACACCGTTGGTCACCGGGGTCGCACGGCCCGGAACACTCGGCAGAATGCCACGGCGGCCTTGAGAGCCCACGACCTGCGTGCGTGGCTGATCCTTGGGAGGTCCATACGGCGAGCCATTGGCGCCATTCACGTCGGGGGTCATACCCCAGGACTTGCCATCAGAGTAGCTGAAAGCACCGGAGGGCATGCCATTGAAATCCCGACGGTCGCGCGGGGGAGCGGGAGCAATGGGCTGCGGGTAGCTCTGCGCGGCAGACGCGGGAGGCAACACGCTTGGAGGGGGAGGGTAAGACTGGGTGTGATGGGCCTGTGTCTGATGGTTAGGGTGGGCAAGGAATGACGGTGAATGACTACCGACAGTCGTGTGCGGCATGATAGGGGCCGTCGAGGCCCCGTACACGTCGTGAGTCGATGCGGGGAACCGCGACAGGTCCGGTCGGTACGGCTGACCCATGTAGGGGTGCGGCGCGGGCGACTGAGTATGATGCGGCTGGAGAGGAGGCAGCGTATGCGGCTGGGAGACCGGATACTGGGGCTGCATCGAGTACTGAGGCATCGGCATGGTGGTGATAGGCGTCGATGACAGGGGCGTGGAGCCCTGGGGCAGGCTGGTGGACGGGGGACGCGAAGGGTGCGAACGAGGATCCATCGTGATTTTCGGTCCGAATGGGTCGACGAGAGTAGAGGTAGTTTCGCGAGAGAGGGGGAGAGGAAGAGGTTGGGTTGGAATTGTGAGGCGTTGAGATCACGCAGTAATCATCGAACACGTCGGTCTTGTGGTTCCTGACTTCCTTCGCGTATTTTTTTCGTGTCGAAGAAAAAACCTAGGAAGCTCCTTGGATCCCAACTGAAATTTTCCCGAGGCGGAAAGGGCGAGGGTTGATTTGAAGGTCACGAATAGGCCTCAATGGCAAGAGGGATCTGACTCCACCGAGAGAAGATGTGAGCGTCAGAAGGTTGGAGGAGTGAAGAAAGAAAGGCTTGATCGGAGTCGATTCCCCACGGTCACCCACCAGGTCAGAGTCGTGTGGGAACTTGGTGTTTTATCCGCACGTTGTCACCGTCGATGGGTTCTGTATCCACCAAGGGAAGCGGGCGTGAGAGTGGGTCTCGCAGCGCAACAACTAGTCAGATCTGCTTCGCGCGTCAAGACGGGACGAAGAAAGCAATGGGCTGAGTTTAAATGGAAAGTTGAAATGAAAAGAAGAAATCGGGTGGATCGAAAAGGACCGATACGGGGAGAGTTGAAGAAGATGAGTTTTGAAGGGGGGAGGATGTGAGAAAGAGAAAAGGGAAAAAATCTCTGGAAAGACAGTTCGATCGTGGACGGGGAGAAAATTGGGGGGGGGAAGGGAAAGGGAAAGGATTAATTGGGGGGGCGGCCAAGGTTCAGGTAAGAAAAAATACGCAGACCGAAAAAAAAAAATTGGACAAGAAAAAAAAGAAGAGAGAAAATGAAAGAAAAAAAAAAGAAACTGAAAAATAGAATAATGAAAAAATTCAAGACACCGATGACCGAAGACTGGTGCAGTCCATACAAAATGGTAACCAAGTAATGAAAACCCGCGTCTCAGTCGATCACTCCTTGGGGAGGCAAGAGGCGAGAAACCCCAATAAAGTCAGAATTGCAAAATTACGGTTGTTTATTACGGATACCGCGACTTACGTACGTTGGCCCGACGGCGAATCTGAATAAGCATACCCAAATAATGGGACTTAATCTGGAAAGACTTATTAGATTACTAATGTTACCTAGATACCTAGAATTCACAGAGAGGAGAAAAGAAGAGATCACTATTTAGATAAATTTGTTAGTATAAAAAAAGGAGTAGACAGAATATTAAGTAACTACGGAATACAGTAAATGGAGGACCTCGGGCTGAGTTGGCGGGTTTCGCGGACAGCGATGACGATATGCCCGGGAGTCTTCCGAAGACAGCCCGGGCCAGGAATGGCCGCGAACAGCAAGTCTACGTGTCCTGGCAGTTGCCGAAATAATGCGGTTTCTACCTTTATTTCACTATTGAATATCTAACAATGTTCATTATAATACTTCATTATAAGTATTATACTTATTATGATGACCATAATAACTATAGATTCAATCTTACTAACAATCCTCCCCTTCACCATCCTCTATCCTACCCT